GGATTTTTCTTAAATTCAGTTAAAATTTTCTGACCAAAAACAAACCGTGAATTTTCCAAGGTCTTTCTGGTTAAATGGATTTTGGATTTTGTGAATAGTTTCCTGACCGTTAATTGCAGTGTTTTAACCCTCCACATTGGAAAGGAGGCTATATTAAAATTGTCATTCCGTTTGTAAGACCTCAAAATATTCGTCGTAATTTTATAGAGCAAACAATGTCGGAAATAATATCAAATTTTAGAATACGTTTAGATTTGTTCGAATTGATCAATTTTGGCTCGAATTATGGCCTTCAAACGGCCAATGAAACCGTCACACGCTGCCCGAATGTTGCTCTGCGGTATTTTGGTCCATTCCCGGCGAAGCGCTTGCTTGAGGTGATCGACAATTTAATATTTTTTAGTGCCAACCTTGCTTTCCAAAATACTCCAGACACAATAGTCCAACGGATTGGTATCAGGAGATTTTGGTGGCCATTGAGCGTGCTGAGTCTTGTTGGAATGTTCAAGGTCTGCGGCCAAAATGTTTGAGTGCCCAAAGCTTTTATACACCCTCCAGAATATTTTCGCAATAATATTCGGCATTTATTCTGATGCCACGGTCGATTAATACGAGCGGAGAGCGACCATCGACTGCTATGGCCAACCGAAGGTGCACATTTTCAGCTGACCTCTTTGGCGAGTAAACGCGATCATTTTGTTTGTTTACAAACTGCTGGACAACGAAAGTTTTCTCATCGGAAGCAAAGAAACACCTTAGCTCGTTTGAGTCTATTTTCTTTCTGTTGCGGTGAAAGTTCTTGCACTTTTTGGAATAACAATGGATTTACCCTGAGCTCATTTTTCAAGCCCACGAGCCATTTTTCGGCCACAGTGATGCGGGTTTCGATCAAGTCCCATCTTTACATTTCGAACCATTTCTGCTGTTGTTACTGTTTTCTTCCGTCCATTTCCTTGACATCGGGCTACGCTACCAGTATCACGGCAACGAGCGATGGTACGGGACACAAAAGATTTATTCACATTTAAATGCTGGAATGCTCTAACGCTGGCCACTTGTGGTTTTTCAGACAAATATAAAGAAATCACTCTATCACGCTTGAATTCCATCACAAATAACTTTTTTCTGGAAAATTCTCACCAAAATGTTTTTGTACGGTTGTAAACAATGTCACTGCAGCTGTCGGACGAGTGGCTTAGAAATTGCAGCAGTTGCAGTTTTTTAATCTCACCCTGTATATCTTCGCCCGATTACATGTAATTGTGCACCAAATGTGTTATTGCATAAATAACATAAATCCACACATAAATTTGAAACTAGAAATAGTTGTGTCAAATTTTGTGGAAATCGGTTCATATATAGCTATAGCTCCCAAGTACTTGTTCTCCACAGACGTAATATGCACTCCGTAACCACGATATCGGTGAAGATTTGGATATAGCTCACATATATGTCTTCATCCGATTTCACGTTTATTGTGCCACAAATGGTTTATATAAGCCTAATTGAATTGATTTTGGCACATAAGAACGAATTTAGCCTGAAAGAAAGTGTATCAATCTTAGTGAAAATCGGTTAAGATATAGCAATGGGTGCCATATATATATTTCATTCGATTTTGTATTTAACTCCCTCACACCCGTAAAATGCTCTCCACAAAAACGATATTTGGTGTCAACTATCAGATACAGTAAGTATAGAAATACCTGTGATAAAACTTATAAAGATCGGTTCGGAAGTGTAATATTAGCTCAAAGAGAATGAATTTTGATGAATTTCGGTTCAGACACAAATGCCTTCGTAGAATATGAAAGAATCATGCGATATATTAGTTTTATGTCGTTTTTAAATAATAACTGCTTTAACGATTATAGTTGGTATGTTTAAATTCTCATAAATTCCCCTTAAAAAATTTAATTTGTTATATGTAGCTATACTATGCATGGAAAGTGATGTAGGGTATTATAAAGTCGGCCCAGCCCGACTTTGGACTTTCTTTATTGGTTTCTATTTTTTATTACTCTTTTTATACCCTCCACCATGGGTAGGAGGGTATATTAACTTTGTCATTCCGTTTGTAACACCTCTAAATATTCGTCGTAGACCCCATAAAGTATATATATTCATAATCAGCATAAAATTCTAAGACGATTTAGCGATGTCCGTCTGTCTGTCCGTCTGTCTGTCCGTCTGTCTGTCTGTCTGTCTGTCCGTCTGTCTGTCTGTCTGTTGAAATCACGATAGAGCCCACATTATTTGACGTAGACCTTTGAAATTTGGCACAAGTGTGTGTATTGTCCCTAGGATAGTTGGTATTGAAAATGAGATATATCGGTCCACGTTCTGGTATAGTCCCCATATAACGGTACCTCCCGATATTCGGTATTTTGATGATTTATGACACATTTTTTCACGGATTTATCTGAAAATTGGTATTTGTAGGTCACAACGGGTCCCTGAGCGTGTGGCAAAACATTGCATGTATAGGTCCACGTTCTGGTATAGTCCCCATATAACGGTACCTCCCGATATTCGGTATTTTGATGATTTATGCCACATTTTTTCACGGATTTGTCTGAAAATTGGTATTTGTAGTCACAACGGGTCCCTGAGCGTGTGGCAAAACATTGCATGTATAGGTCCACGTTCTGGTATAGTCCCCATATAACGGTACCTCCCGATATTCGGTATTTTGATGATTTATGCCACATTTTTTCACTGATTTGTGTAAAAGTTGGTATTTGTGGGTCATAATGGGTCCTAGTTCCTGTGGCGAAACATTGTAATTGTGCACGTGTTGGTGTAGCCCCTATATAACGGTACCTCCCGATATTCGGCATTTTAATGTTTTTTGCCACATTTCTTCTAATGTTCTTTTACCCTAGGGTGGAGGGTATTAAAAGTTTGGCCCGGCCGAACTTAATGTTTTTTTACTTGTTTTTTCTTAATTCTTCCAAATGTTTCTACCTTAGGTTTCCTTCCCCGTGTTTTGCTGTTATTGATGATCCACATTTTGGGCACAGTGGCCAGACCGTTACCCCTATCATATTACAGCACATATGAACCACCCGCATATGGATATGTTACAGGATACCGGCCTCTTTTTGAAGATAAACTTTTGGATGCCGACTACTACGGAGAAGTATTTTACGATGACAATTTTTTCGATTATTTTATGAATGGTTTTGATTGTTAGCTGCGCAATTTGTTATTCTAATTTAGATCTTAGATAAGCTAAAGCAATTGTTATAAGATAAATATTTATTTTCTAAATTTTTACCTTTTCAATAAAATTATTTTTTATGTTACTCTAAAGTGCATATCCGAAGCAAAATACAATTTTTTTAAAGAAAGAAAATCAAGATTAGGTTCGAAATTATGGCTGGAAAGGGTTTGGTTGGATCAATGCTGATTTAATGACTGACTGATAATTTTGCACAAGGATTGAAATTGATTGCGAACGTCTGTGATAAGGCAGGAATTGTAGAAAGAGTACGGAAAATGGGAATAGGAAAGATATCTTGCATTAGGTGGATATTTTGCCTGAAGTTGGAATCGTGAAATTTTGCCTAAAGTTTTATTATCACAAGGTTAAGAAATATTTTATATTAAATTGTACGAAACAATGTACTGTAACATTAATTTTAGAATATTGTATAAATTGAGATTTTTCAAAGATTTTTGATCGATTATGGATTTTTAATTTGTTAAACGTGGAATTTTCAAAAACATTTTTAAGGTACGTCACGAGGACGTTTTGATTTTGACCATTAAATATCGATTTAATAATTGTTTTTATACCCTCCACCATAGTATGGAGGGTATATTAAGTTTGTCATTCCGTTTGTATTACCACGAAATATAAATTTTAGACCCCACAAAGCATGATCAGCACAAAATTCTATGTCGAGTTAGCGAAGTCTGTCCGTCTATCTATCTGTGGAAATCACTCTAGCTTCCGAACGAAATGAAGTAGGTTGATAAAATTTTACTCAAATGTATATTATATCTGCAGGACTTTTGGTGTTGAAAATGGGCCATGTAGGTCCACGTTTTGGTATAGCCCCGATATAACGTTACCTCCCGATATTCGACATTTTGATGATTTTAGCGACATTATTCACCGGAATTGTTTGAAATTTGGTATTTAAAGTTTGTAATGGATACTACAGTCTAAGACAGAAAAGTGTCTGTGCAGACCCAAGTCATCGTATAGCCCCCATATAACGGTACCCCCGATATTTGGTATTTTGATGATTTTAGCGACATTATTCACCGGAATAGCTTCAAATTTGGTATTTGATGTTCGTAATGGATACTACAGCCTATGACAGAAAATTGTCTATGCAGGTCCACGTTTTGGTAAACATTTTGGCCGCAGACCTTGGACATTCCAACAGGACTCAGAACCATCGAACAATAAGGTTCCTCTCTTCATTTTCAGCGCTCAATGGCCACGAAAATCTCCGGATACCAATCCGTTGGAGTATTTTGGAAAGCAAGGTTGGCACTAAAAAATACCAAAGTGTCGATCACCTTAAGCAAGCGCTTCGCCGGTAATGGTCCAAAATACCGCAGAGCAACATTCGGGCTGCGTGTGATGGTTTCATTGGTCGTTTGTAGCCCATAATTCGTGCCAAAAGTGACCACTTCGAACAAAGATAAGCTTATTCTATGCTCACCGGTAATTTCAATTTTGATTTTTAAATATTAATAATTTAATTTAGTAGTGAAATTTTAGTAGGCATTTTGCACTGATTCTATATTTTTGACCAAAAATAATGTAAACGCCATTGGCAATCTCTACCCACAAAATACATTTTAATTCCTTAGGGGGAGAGAGTAAACGAATTACTTTTCTCTCAGAGAAATTAGTGGCACATAATTTTAAACAATGGTGATCACATAAATCTAATTGTTTAGTATAATGCGCGTTCTTAAGTATACATGTACCGAGAGATAGCCCACAAACCGCTTTTTCGGAGCACATATTGGCACTGGCATTTGCTTTGTTTTCACGACGATGTTGCAGTTTACATTTGCCCGTGACGCAGATAGCTTGGCGAAATGTTGATATTAAAAAGCGGCAATGCTGCAAGTTTTTCGAAAAATTCAATTTTAAGAGTGAATTTAATCTCTTATAAAATACGAAATAAAGTGAGTGATGTCAACAAATAATGATGTGAAATGAATTTCAAATAATCAACAACTATTTCGTAGTTTCTGTCTCTGCCGGGTGCATTGCAGTTTGTCTTCACGGCAACGCGAACGTGTTCAACTTTATCGGATGAATGGAAAGATGCTAAAGCTTTCGAAGACATCCCAAAAATTGGCGCTTGGAAACTATTACGAAATTTTCTTCCTGGCGGCAAATATAGAAATCTTGATTCAGCCCAGTTGATGTTGGCATTCAAGGAGGATTTGGGTCCAATTGGTCTGGTCAAAGGTGTATTTGGCAAAGCAGATGCGGTACTCTGCCACAGTCCTCAGGATTTTGAAAAAGTCTATCGCAATGAAGGCGTGTGGCCAACAAGACCCGGCATGACGGTGTTATACCATTATCGTAATGTTTTACGTCCAGAGATTTTTCAAGGCGTCGAAGGATTGTCGGGAACGTAAGTTGAACTATTTAATAGTTTTATTTTGTTTAATATTTCTAAAAATACCCATGTACTAATTATTATGTATAAGATTAAAGGTGAGAACATTTAAAATGCATTTTTGGCTGGCATATGTCATCAGCTGACAAAGGAGCGTAGGGTGAACAAGTATGAATTATAGGTCAAAGTAGAACTACGTTAACCTAAGACTCCTTTGTTCTTTTACGAAGAAGCCAGTCGAAGTCGATGACTTAAGCCAGTCAAAAAAGACTTCTATGTATTCTCACCTTAAGATTCCATAAATTTACGCTTAAACTAGTAAAGAATGATACCCTACATCATTGAAGGTATTTGGTAGTAATATTTCCCGCAACCAAAAAGTTTTATTGGGAGTTCATGTGGAGTAGATCATACCAACTATGGTAAAATTTTGGTTGTATATCAAAAAATCTATTCAATTTGGGCTGATATTACATATATGGTGAGCAGTTACCGTAAAATCGGATAAAGATGTATATCGAAGCTATATCATAATCTGAATCGACTTCGATAGAATTTGGCAGAAGTATTTTCGATGTGAAGGACTTGCTTTTAGACATGTGAGGGACTTGCTTTTAGGCAGAATTCAGTCGGAAGTGCCAAAATTCAGTCCATTTGGGCTGATATTAGCCATTTGGTGCACAATAAACCTCATATCATATAAAGATATATATGGGAGCTATATCCAAATCTGAGCCGATCTTGACAAAATTTTAAACACTTAGAGATTATTGTTGTGAAGAGCATATTACATATGTGAGTGCCTTTAACACCAAATCGGATGAAACATTTATATGGGAGCTATAGCTATATCTGAACCGATTTTCGCCAAATTTGATGCACTTGTTTCTAGGATGAATTTAGTCGGAATTGCCAAAATTCAGACCATTTGGTGGGTAGATATTAGGCATTTGGAACACAATTAAAATGATATCGGGTAAAGATATATAAATAATATTTTTAATAATAAAGATATCGACGCTATTTCCTATCTGATCCGATCTCGATCAAATTTGAGCGTTATCTTGTACAAAATATCATTCTTGTGGAGTGCATATTAAGTATGTGAGGGACTTAAAACCCCAAATCTGATTAAACATATACATGGGAGCTATCGCTATATCTGAACCGATTTTCTCTAAATATAATGTACTTGCTTCTAGACAGGATTTGGTCAGATGTGCCAAAATTCAGGTCATTTGGACTGATATTGGCCATTTGGCGTGTAATTAATCGAAATAGGTTGAAGTTACATATGGGAGCTATATCTAAATTGAACCGATTCTCACCAATTTCAATAGGGTTCGTCCTTGAGTGAAACAAGTATTGTTTGGAAAATTTCATCTCAATGGCTTGGCAACCTAATTTATAATGAGTACTTTTGTAGGGAACTTGAGATCTCGAAAAATTTCTATGGAATTTATATAATTTTGTAGAAAGAGTGGAGCAAATTATCTCATCTTTATATCAGCTCCAATATTATCAAAAATATTAGAACGTGCGAAGCTTGCAGAAAATTACTTTTTAATGTTATGGCTTTCATGAGGGAGGAATAGGATATTTTCTTTTAAAATTTCTGAACTTTTTTTAGGAATGAGTAGAATATTATATCCAATTTTATGCAGAATCTAAGATTGGCAGAAATATTACGATGTTCAAAGTTGTAAGGAAATTATTTCGCGATCTTTGAGGGTTATTAATATCTAAAATTATTGAGTCCGTGTTAGGAAGTGCACAGGCATTTTCGAATTTCAAATTTGGTAAAAATATTGCGTGATATCTTTCGCATCAGCTGGCCTGGAAAGACGGACGGACAAAGGTACCCAGTAAAAGTTGTATGAATTGAATATCCTTTTAAAAGGCATAGCTCTGAGCGTGTTCACTATCAACTTGAATTCTACTCTAGCCAGGTACTTTTTGAGTTGGAATACTCTTATTTTATTTGGAACTATTTGTTTTTTTTTTTTTAACACAGCGGAAAAGAAAAAAAAAAGAAAATTGAAAATAATGATTGAATCCATTTCGGGATAGACAACAAAGAAAAGTAGGCAAAGTTCCAAATAAGCAAAATCAGTCACGATACTCGTTATCTAAGTCAATTTTAGATATTTTCATTGACTCCAATGCATGGCAAAGACCTCACAAAACGTTCTTTGTCCACTGTTTAGCTGTGTTTGTATATTTGAGTTGAAGTAATTAAATACTTACCCAAATAATAAAGACAATTGTGAGTAATGTTCAAGAAATTAATTTTAAAATGACTTAATGACATGATAATACATCTTAAAATAAATAATTTAGGAAAAGATTACATATCATTAACTTAAGATAATATAGATTTTGATAAATATATTTTCGTCTTGGAGACTCATCCACTTCAGTAAGGTTTATATGATCACAATGTTAATAAATCAGCTGTTCTCAACTTATCTCTTTTAATGCCTTACTCACCTAACTCGGAATTAACCAGCAATATACCATTATATGAAAAACGTTCGTAAGTGTGGAGAATAAGTTCAGCTGAGCCGATCTTTATACTCTCCACCATTGGGTAAAGAAAACATTTGTATATAAAAGTATCTGAATTCAAACGTGTTCCACTTTAAACTACTAACACCAGTAAGACCGTTTGGATAAGGCTGTTAAACTTTTTAAAAAACCATAACCGGAAACCTCTATAGACAATTTTATAATTCAAGGATTGTCATCTGTCAAATCTACAAAATACCAAATTTGAAAAAATTTCGATAGTAAATGTGACTAGGATTATTAAAATACCGAATATCGGAAAATGTGGACCTAAATATTCAATTTCTGCCGCCGCAGCTAGAACCCATTATGAACTACAAAAACCAATTTTTAGACAAATCCGTGTGCAAAAATACCCGGAGCTACCATAATGTGAGGACTATACGCAAACGTGGACCTATTAGGGCGAGATGAAAAAACTGCAACCAACTTCAGGCTGCTGTCATTTCCAAGCCACTCGTCCGGCAGCTGTTAAAATTATTAAAGTGACAGCATTTTGGTGCGAATTTTTCAGAAAAAAAAGTTATTCGTGGTGGAATTCAAGCGTGAAGTGTGATTTCTTTATATTTGGCTGGAAAACCACAAGTGGCTATCGTTAGAGCACTCCAGCATTTAAATATGTCTCGTACCATCGCTCGTTACCGTCATACTGGTAGCATAGCCCGACGTCAAGGACGTGGATGGAAGAAAACAACAACATCAGCAGAAATGGTTCGAAAAGTAAAGAAGCGACTTGGTCGAAACCCGCGTCGCAGAGACCGAAAAATGGCTCGTGAGCTGAACATATCGAAATATTCGATTCGGCAAATATTGAAAAACTTACACAGCAAAAGGAATAAAATAGACTTAAAAGAGCTAAGAAGTTGCTTCGCTTGGCCAAAAGTGGTGAACTGCCGAATTTGGTTTTCCCCGATGAGAAAACATTCGTTGTACAGCAGTTTGCAAACAAACAAAATGATCGTGTTTACTTGCCAAAGAGGTCAGTTGAAAATGTACACCTTAGTTGGCCACCAGAACTCAAGCGCCGGCCATGGTGATGTGGGCCGCCATAACAGCCGGTGGTCGCTCTCCGCTCGTATTATTCGACTGTGGCACCAGAATATATGCCTAATATTATCGCGAAAATGTTCTGGAGGTTGTAAAAAAGCCTTGGCCACGCAAACATTTTGGCCGCAGACCTTGGACACTCCCAGAGGACTCAGCACCATCGCACTCAGCACGCGCCTCCCAAGAATGGTTACAAAATTAGGTTCCTCGCTTCATTTCCAGCGTACGATGGCCACCAAAAATCTCCGGATACCAATCCGTTGGACTATTGTGTCTGGAGTATTTTGGAAAGCAAGGTTTGCACTAAAAAACACCAAAGTGTCGATCACATCAAGCAAGCGCTTCGCCGGGAATGGGCCAAAATACCGCAGAGCAACATTCGGGCAGCGTGTGAAGGTTTCATTGGCCGTTTGAAAGCCATAATTTGTGCCAAAGGTGACCAATTCAAACAAATCTGACCTTATTCAAAAATTTGATGTTATTTCCGACATTTTTTGCTTTCATTCAAAAACATTTAAAAAATGTAAAAATTATGGCGTTTGACTTTGTTGCAGTTTTTTATCTCACCTTGTATATATGAAAGTTCTTTGAATTTTACGCACCTAAAGTACATCTCAGTAAACTTTTATCGTTTCATTCGGAAGCTAGAGTTATTTACACAGACGGACAGACAAACATTGATAAATCGACATCGAATTTCATGTGAATACTTTGTGGGGTCTAAAATGCTTATTTCGAGAAATCACAAACGGAATGATAAGCTTAATATACCCTCTATAGTATAGTAGAAAGGATTAAAAAGGTCTCTTCTTATTACCGAGCAATTAGCTACGTCCGATAAAAAAATTGTTTATAATGGAAGTTTTGGTCGGATAATGGTGGGCATTTCATTATGTCCATAACTTATACAAAGTAAAAACAACAAATTCTTTATCCATCGCCCCTATTTCTAGGTAGACTTTCCACCCAAATAATATTATTTTAATATTTTAAAAATTCAATTTTATTTTCAGGCAGGGAGAGAAATGGGGAAATTTTAGAACAGTTGTCAATCCCATATTGATGCAACCAAGGAATGTTCGTGTCTATTTTCATAAAATGTCCCAGGTCAATAGAGAATTTATTGAAAGGTATGTTGGAACATACAAAAAGTTATGACTTAGCGTAGGTTTAATTTTGAAGGTCCTCTTTCCGACAAAAAGTTTTACAAGGGTTTCATATTTATAAATTATTATTTCAATTTTCAGAATTCAACAAATTCGCGATCCTCAAACCCATGAGGTTCCTGAAAATTTCGAAGAAGAAATTAATCGTTGGACCTTAGAATCGGTATCAGTTGTGGCATTGGACAAACAGCTGGGTCTGATAAGCAAGCACCGTGATAATCCACAAGCCAAACTTCTATTCAAATCGTTGACTGAAATGTTTGTCTATTCAATGGACTTGGAAATAAAACCGTCGATTTGGAAATATTACACAACACCAACAATGAAAAAGGCAGTGCGATCTTTGGATCAAATTACAGAGATAACAAAAGCGTATATTGAAGAGGCTATTGCACGCATTGAAAATGAATCGCAAAACGATCTATCGAACAAATCATCTGAAAGAGAGAAAAGTGTTTTGGAAAAATTGATAAATGTTGATAAACAAACCGCCATGGTAATGGCAATGGATATGTTGATGGCCGGCGTGGATACGGTAGGTGGGAATGACATTTAAAGCCTTGCTTTAAAATTTATAAATAAAACTAAATTTATTGAAAATAAATTATTTAATAAAATTAAAAACAATTCATTCAATCAATATAATTTGTAGTAATAAAATTAATTTCTTTCCAGACTACCTCAACATTTACCGGCCTCCTGCTATGTCTGGCAAAGAATCCCGACAAACAAGAAAAACTGCGCAAAGAAGTATGCAAGTTATTACCCCACAAAAATTCAGAATTCAATGAAGCTGTATTTAAAAATATGCCATATTTAAAGGCTTGCATTAAAGAATCCCTGCGCATGTATCCATTGACATTGGGTAACACCAGAGTACCAGTTAATGACATTGTGTTGAGCGGCTACAGAGTACCCAGGGGAACACAAGTCCTTATGATATCAACTTCACTGATGAGAGATGAAAACCATTATCCACGTGCCAACGAATTTCTACCCGAACGTTGGTTGAGGCCAACCGAAGCAGGAAGTCATGGTGAATGTCCAAATTTTCTGAAGCCCAGCAGCCCTTTTATTTATTTGCCTTTCGGATTTGGTTCGCGTAGTTTTATTGGCCGTCGTATTGTTGAAATGGAACTAGAAATGGGCATTGCACGTTTAATACGGAACTTTTATGTAGATTTTAAATATCCCGTGGACAATGCCTTTAGATGTGTTTTGATAAATGTTCCGAATATTCCATTGAAATTTCAATTTACAGATGTCGAGAATTAGCAAGAAATTTTGTAAAATTGTATAAAACTAATTTATTTGTAAGTAATAAAATATTACGAATTAAGACAGAGCAAAGATCTGTTGTTCGGGAGACCAACAATCCGATTGTGTAATAACGCTTATGTACAAAAAGAAAAACTAGTTAGAGTCGACTGTTAGTTAGAGTAGGCTGTCTCGACAGCTGCTTTCAGACTATGTAGACGTTTATTTATTTATTTCAGTGTGATTTTCAAAATGTTTACAGTTAAGAAGGGTAAGGGAGAAATCAAAGCAAACCCTTTGCGAAAAGGGTTCCTGAGAGAGTGGTCTCATAGAATCTACTTTTTACTTACCTAGCAAAAAGTTGGGAGCAGTATGATCCGAACCGAATTTGAATTTGAGTTCAGGGCATATGGAGAAAAACATTAAAGAATGACGTAAAGTTGGGCGAGGCTTAACAAATAAATGCTATAACACTTTTGAAGAATTTTTAGCAGGTAAAGCTGAACATTTTTGATGCTATTGCTAAACTGGTGCAATTTACGTGTGAAACTTTTTATTGGGATTGAGTTAGGGCCAGAATGTTCGTTAAAGATATTCACAGAATATTTAGAGGCTGAAACGGGATAAAAACTTAAAATTGCCTAAGAAAATCTAAGGACCTAAAATCGTAGATCTCCTGACTTTAAATCATAGCTTTTTTATGGAAAATTATTTAGGTTATATGGGTTATATAAGATGTTTTTACGACAATAAAATTAAGGATCACCAAATCATCTTATTCTCATTATACCCTCAGCCATATGGCTACAGAGGGTATATATCATTTGATACGGTCAAAACGTGCCTAGTCGAAATAACGGTTTTAGACCCTAGGTCTCTTTGGACCAAATCCGTTTCAGAACATTTGGAGTCGATCTACCGATGTCCGTCCGTCCGTCTGTCTGTCTGGCTGGTGCGCACGATAACTCTCGAAGGAAGTATCCGATTTGATCCAAACTTGGTACATCGTAATATTTTTGTCAAACTTAGATGGAGTTCGGAGATGGGCGATATCGGTCCACTCCTTCTGGTACCTCCCACACAAAATGTCAAAATTTTCAAAGAAACGAATTTATTGCTCAGAAAGAGAAAGGATAATCCAATTTTGCTCGAACTTTGCTTTGCTCTTATATTTTCATCAGTGATAGGTTAGGTGTGAAAATGGACAATATCGGTCCACTCCATCAAGTACCTCCCCCACAAATGGTCAAAATTTTGAATAATTACAACTCTTATAAAATGTGATTTAAGAGTCCGATAGTCTTTAAATTTCACACATCCTATTAATTTTATTAGACCAAGGTCTGGGGTGAAAATGGAATGTATCGGTCCACTCCTTCTGGTACCTCCCCCCAAAAGGTAGAAATTTTCAAAAAATATTTCTGCACAGAAAGAGAAACGATAATCTGATTTTGCTCTAACTTTGCAAATCCTAATATTTTCATCAGTGCTATGTCAGGTGCGAAAATGGACAATATCGGTCCACCCCATCAAGTACCTCCCCCACAAAGGGTCAAAATTTTGAATAATTACAACTCTTATAAAATGTGATGTAAGAGTCCGATTGTCTTCAAATTTCGCATATATTTTTATTAACCTAAGGTCTGGTGTTAAGAGTGAATACATCGGTCCATTCCTTTTGGTACCTCCCCCACAAAAGGTCGAAATTTTCAAAAAAAATATAAAATATATTTTTTGCACAGAAAAAGAAACGATTATCCGATTTTGCTCTAACTTTGCAAATCCTAATATTTGTGTCAGTCCCAGATCAGTGCTAAAATGGACAGTATCGGTCCACTCCATCAAGTACCTCCTCCACAAAGGGTCAACATTTTGAATAATTATAACTCTTATAAAATGTGATGTAAGGATCCGAACGTCTTCAAATTCCACACATTCCAATATTTTTATAAACCCAAGATCTGGTGTTGACATGGAATGTATCGGTCCACTCCTTCTGGTACCTCCCCCACAAAGTGTCGAAATTTTGAATATCCATGAAGCTCATAAAACGCCAAATTAACATCCGACAAAATCTGTTATAAAGGTGGTATAGATCGAACCATTTCTTCTGGTACCTCCCCCATACATAGGGTTCAAGATTTTGAAAAACAAAACACTCAAATAAAGCGAAATAAGCATTCAACTCTCTTCAAATTTCACACATACAAACATTTTTGCCAACACAAGATCTGTTGTGAAGTTGATATATATCTGCGAACCACTTCTGGTACCTCACCCACAAAGGGTCACAATTTTAAATAATTTTATCTGTCATAACTTTCGAAACAATTTAGACATTCTTTACTACTTGCTATGCTCAAATATTTCTCTCAATAAGAAGCCTGATATGATAATGAAATTTATCGGAATTTATGATTTCGCATAAAATTGCAAATAAATATCCTTTCTTGTAATTGTGCCCAATATTTCGCTCAATATTTTTTTTTTTATTTGTATCAGATGAAGTATAAAAATGGAATATTTCGGTAGGCTCTATCTGGTACATCACGCACATTTTAACATTTTCTAAAAATTATTACATTCTCATATAAAGTGAAGGAGTGTGTCGATATAATCCATACCAGTAACGTCGGAATATTTATATTATATTTTTGGGTCCGATACGAAATGGACAATATTGGTCCATTCCTTCGGGACCTGCTCCATAGAGGGCCAAACGTTTGAATAATTGTAACACTAGTCAAATATTTCGATTATTTAATCGGGTATATATCTGTCGGTAATACCGACTGATACTTTTTAACTTGTTTTTTTTTTTAAGATAATGTATTTAAGGAATCTGGAACAAAAATTTTGAATTTTTATACGATGTCAGCAAAATAAGAAATATGTTTTTGATTCTCTAGAAAGTTTACTCATCGTAATATTTCTTCTTACACAAGATCTGGTGGGAAGATGATAAATATCGGCCATCCCCTTCTGGTACCTTACCCATAAAAGGGTTAATATTTTGAATAACCAATAATAATAAGCATTCGGTTCATTCTAAACTTCACATTTTCCAATATTTCTACTGACACAAGATTTGCTGTAAAAATGGAACATGGAATAAAAAGGATTAACATAAAATACGAAATAAGTTTCCCATACTCATCACACTTCACACATCTGAATATTTCTACTTACACAAGATCTGGTGTGAAGATATCCGATATCTAGGACTGAGAAATCCGAATGTACTAAACGGGGACAGATCGACACCGGAAAGTGGATTTCGTCCAAAGGGGCTCAGAGTCTAAAACAGTTATTTGATAAAACTCATTTTGATTGCATTCCATGCTATATATACCCTCTGAAGCCTTCTTGCTGAGGGTGTAAAAATTGAAACCTTTTGTGAGGAAGCGATATTTTCCATTTCCAAACACGAAGTAGATTTAATAGAAATATGACGTTGTAAACTCAGTACGTTTTTATTCTCCTCTGACCTATTCAAACCAGCAGCACTGTGTGATACATGCATTGATGCTTGCAATGCATCACCACTGGATTGTCATAATAAATGTTAAAAAGCTATTGTCCCAATGACCCAATTTTTATGTACTCTTAAAACCGGTTCTAAGAATATTTTGTGTTCGAAAATAAATTATATTGATTAGCTTCGAAGTAAAATAATTCAATAATTAACTGTATATTGAAGAGAAACGTTTTAAATAAATTGCAGCGAGACATTTAGCTATGTTTAAAACAAATAAATATTTTGTGAAAAATAAAGGATTTCGGAAATTCTCATCGGAAGTAAAGGTAACATTTTAAATTCCTATAAAAACAATTGATTTTCAAACTTTCCAATTTAGCATCCTTCCAATCGTGCTACAGAATGGCAGAATGCAAAACCGCTGAGTGAAATGCCAACATTGAAACCACTGAAATTGCTTTGGAACTTGTTACCAGGTGGAGTATATTCTAAACTCGACACCTTCCAATTGATGTTGGCTGTTAAAAGAGACATTGGGTCAATATGTTGGCTACGCGGTGCATTTGGAAATCCCGATTTTGTTATGACACACAATCCGCAAGATTTTGAAAAGGCGTTTCGCAATGAGGGCCCTACGCCCATGAGACCTGGATTTGAGTATTTGTCCTACTATCGTAATGTAGTGAAACCGGACATATTCCAAGGCGTTGAAGGACTTTTGGGATCGTAAGTGTTGTATTTAAATGTGGTACCTATGTTCATGGTTTATCGTGTTATATTGAAATTTCGACTAAAACGAGGTTTCTTTCCGATTTGTAGGAGATTTAAGGTTGGGCCGAACATTGACACTTGGTAAAGAAGTAACTAGAAGATAAGCTGAAAAGTACATATTCCAAAGAGATTTAACTTCGATATGAGCACAACGTCTTAAGAAATTGGGAATTACCTTATATGAGTGATATGATTGTTTTCTCACAATTGAACCGATATAGTACTTCTTGAAAGTTAATGTAAGATCGCCAGAAATATAGCGATGTGTAAACTCTAGGCTGTCTCGGTGACTCATTTTTATACCCTACACCACAAGGTGGTCAAGGTATTATGTCTTTTGCATTTGTTTGTAATGGACAAAAGGAAACGAGATAGACAAATAGTTCCTTTTGATGATCGGCATAGAATCACATTCTGAGTCGATTTATGCATATCCGCCCGTCTGTCTGTCCATGTATTTTTGTAAACAAAGTGCATATCGCATTCATTGCCCGACCCCGATGAAATTTTGCACAACTCATTTCTTTGAGCCAAGGACGAACCCTATTGAAATTGGAGATAATCTGTCTAAATTAAGATAAAGGCCCCATGTATATCTTGGTCCGATTTTCTATTTATTGTGCATCAACCCAAATAGTATGAAATGCATATACGATCAAATTAAGCCTGGAAATAAGTATGCCAAATTTGATGGAATCGGTTCGGATATTGCTATGGCTCCCATATATATTGTTCATCCGATTGGATATTTTTGTCAAGGAGATTTGGCGAAATATTTCAAATAAAAAGGAAAAAATATCGAGATCGGTTCAGATTTGGATATAGCACCAATATAAACAGAGTGAGATGAAACTGCAACAATGCCAAATGCCATATTTTTACATATTTTTTTTTTAAATTTATTTGAATGAAAGCAATAAATGTTTGAAAAAGCATTAAATTTTAAAATAAGTTTAGATTTGTTCGAATTGCACGAATTATGGCCTTCAAACGGCCAATGAAACCGTCACACGCTGCCCGAATGTTGCTCTGCGGTATTTTTGCAATTCCTGGCGAAACGCTTGCTTGAGGTGATCGACACTTTGGTACTTTTTTGTGCCAACCTTGCTTTCCAAAATACTCCAGATACAATAGTCCAACGATTGGTATCCGGAGATTTTAGTGGCCATTGTGCGCTGGAAATGAAGCGAGGAACCTAATTTTGTAACAATTCTTGGTTGGCGAGTGTTAAATGCGATGGTGCTGAGTCCTGTTGGAATGTCCAAGGTCTGCGGCCAAAATTATTGCGTGCCCGAGGCTTTAGTACACCCTCCAGAATATTTTCGCGATAATATTCGGCATTTATTCTGATGTCACGGTCGATTAATACGGCTGTTATAGCGGCCCATACCATCACCATGGCCGGTGCTTGAGTTCTGGTGGCCAACCGAAGGTGCACATTTTCAACTGACCTCTTTGGCAAGTAAACACGATCATTTTGATTGTTTACAAACTGCTGGACAACGAATGTTTTCTCATCGAAGAAAACCTAATTCGGCAGTTCAACACTCTTCCCCAAGCGAAGCAACTCTTTAGCTCGCGGTGTATGTTGTTGCATTTTTGGGATTTCAATGGCTTTATCCCGAGCTCAATTTTCAATATTTGCCGAATGGAATATTGATTGCTCACGAGCCATTTTGCGGTCACTGCGATGCGGGTTTCAATCAAGTCACTTCTTTACTTTTCGCACCATTTCTGCTGATGTTGCTGTTTTCTTCCGTCCACTTTCTTGACGTCGAGCTATGCTACCAGTATCACGGTAACGAGCGATGGTACGAGACACGAAAGATTTGTTCACATTTGAATGCTGGAGTGCTCTAACGACAGCCACTTGTGATTTTCCAGCCAAATATAAAGAAATCACCCTATCACGCTTAAATAACTTTTTTTCTGGAAAATTCTCACCAAAATGCTTTTGTACGCTTGTAAACAATATAATGAGCTGTCACTAAAATAATTTTTACAGCTGTCGGGAGAGTGGCTTTCATCTCACCCTGTATAAAGCATTAAAGAAAGTCCTTCAAAATATATTCAAGACTCTAAGATTCGTGGTCAGAAAGTCCTTGCAAAACCTATTTGGAATTCCTGGAATTCTTTAAAATTCACCATTCTTTACAAAATGTCTTGCAGATCTAAGATGATTGGCCGGAAAGTCCTTGTCAAATATTTTAAAAATTTGGTGTAGAACTCCAAAATCCATGATTCTCCATCTGAAAGTTATATAAATAAATCCATGAGTCTCGCCCAGGAACTCGTAGTAAGAGATTAAAATGGCTAGAATATCTGAAAAAAAACGCATTAAATATTTGCGATTTGTGGTCAGGAAGTCTATGCAAAGCCTTTTTTAAAAATCTACAATTTTCAAGAACAGAAAGTCCTTTAATACCTATTTACCATTTTAAAGAAATCTACGATTTTTGACTGAAAATTCTTGCAAAACATTTAAAAAATGCACTATTCTTGGTATGATTAACCTATCCTCATAAACCTCCAATATTAACTACAATTCTGGTACAGGGTATCTCTTAGTCCAAAGTCTGTTCACATTTTTTTAGACAAGGAGAAAAGTGGGCCAAATTTCGATCAGTAGTGAATCCTGTTATGTTACAACCTCGAAATATATGTTTGTATTTACACAGTCTGTCCGATGTTAACAAAGAATTCATTGAAAGGTAATGTGAAAGAGAAAAAGAGCGGCATCAATGAGTATATTTAAGTATTTGTATATTTTTCAGAATTCAACAAATTCGCAATCCCCGAACTCAAGAAGTCCCAGCTACTTTTGTCGAGGAAATACATCGATGGGCCGTGGAGTCAGTGGGCGTGATAGCACTTGATCACCGACTAGACATGCTAAGCAGAAAACAGAGAGACGCCACTGCAGAACGCTTAATTGAGTCTATAATGACATTTTTCGAGTGTGCCGGAGAATTGGAATTTAAACCGACAATTTGGAAATATTACAAAACGCCTACATTTAAGAAACTCATCAAAAGTTTAGATGGAATTACAACAATAACAAAAATATTTATTGATCAAGCAGTGGAAGAAATTAAAAAGGAATGTAAAACTCCCGGCGTAGAAAACGCAAATCACAAAACAAGTGTTTTGAAGCAATTGATAAAAATTGACAAAAATATTGCCATGGTAATGGCAATGGATATGTTTTTGGCTGGTGTAGATACGGTAAGAAATTTTGAAATTAAAAACAATAGTTTTTTAATCTATCTATTTGTTTAGACCACAACATTATTTGCCGGTATACTGTTGTGTCTGGCCAAAAATCCCGAAAAACAAGAAAAATTGCGCAACGAAATTTTTCAGCTCTTACCCCAAAAAGATTCCGAATTGAGAGAAAATCACCTCAATTGTATGCCCTATTTGAGGGCGTGCCTTAAAGAGTCACTAAGATTACATCCATTAGCAGTGGGTAATGCTCGCGCCCAGGCAAATAATGTTGTACTGAGTGGTTATCGTGTACCCAAGGGATCGCTTGTTTCCATGATTCATGCCTCAATAGTGCGGGATGCTAAATATTATCCCCAACCAGATGCATTTTTACCCGAACGTTGGCTGAGACAGCCGAGGAGTGAGAACAATGTGTTGAAGAGCAAAGCACCGTTTCAATATTTGCCCTTCGGTTTTGGTCCACGTAGCTGTATTGGGCGACGAATTTCACAGCTGGAGTTAGAATTGGTCATCGTGCGTTTGATACGTAATTTCCGGGTGGAATTTATTTATTCCACCGAGAAAGCATTCCGGGGTGCCTTTATTAGTGTTCCCAACATTCCATTAAGATTTAAATTTATCGATATTGAAGAGTGAAATAAAAAACGTATCTTACTTTCAATTTGACGTTTTTCACCACACAAGTTAAATGCATGTTTAATATGAATGCTGCCGAAATATGTCGAGCGTACGAAATTTTGAAGATGAATAAATTCAACATTGATTAAATAATTTATGTTTTTTTGTGTTTAGTGTAAAAGTAGAATTGAATTGAATTTGTAATAGAAAACCAGTAAAGAAAGTCTTACAGTCGGGCGGGCCGACTTTATTTTTTATTTAATAGAGCTCAACATAACAAATAAAAATTTTTATGGGGAATTTATGAGAATTAAATCATACTAACTATGATTATACATGGTGAGATAAAAAAACCACAACAAAGTCAAACGCCATAATTTTTACATTTTTTTTAAATTTTATTAAATGAAAGCAAACAATGTCGGAAATAGCAACAAATTTTAGAATAAGTTTAGATTTGTTCGAAATGGTCACCTTTGGCACGAATTATGGCCTTCAAACGGCCAATGAAACCGTCACACGTTGCTCGAAAGTTGCTCTGCGGTATTTTGGCCCATTCCCGGCGAATCGCTTACTTGAGGTAATCGATACTTTGGTATTTTTTAGTGCCAACCTTACAAAATACTCCAAACACAATAGTTCAACGGATTGGTATCCGGAGATTTTGGTGGTCATTGTATGCTGGTAATGAAGCGAAGAATATCATTTTGTAATCATTCTTGGTGTGCTGAGTGCGATGGGCTGAGTCCTGTTGGAATGTCTAAGGGTACGGCCAAAATGTTTGCGTCTGCAAGGCTTTAATCCAACCCTCCAGAATATTTTCGCTATAATATTCGGCATTTATTTTGATGCCACGGTCGATTAATAAGAGCGGAGAGCGACCATCGTCTGTTATGGCAGCCCACACCATAACCATGGCCGGCGCTTGAGTTCTGGTGGCCAAACGAAGGTGCATATTTTCAGCTGACCTCTTTGGCAACTAAACACGTTCATTTTGTTTGTTTACAAACGAATGTTTTCTCATCGGAGAAAACCAAATTCGGCAGGAAAACCACAAGTGGCTATCGTTAGAGCACTCCAGCATTTAAATGTGAATACATCGTTTGTGTCTCGTACCATCGCTCGTTACCTTGATACTGGTAGCGTAGCCCGACACCAAGGATGTGGACGGAAGAAAACAGCAAAATCAGCAGAAATGGTTCGAAAAGTAAAGAAGCGACTTGATCGAAACCCGCGTGGCAATGGCCGAAAAATGGCTCGTGAGCTGAACATATCGCAATATTCTATTCGGCAAATATTGAAAAATGAGCTCGGGGTAAAGCCATTGAAATTCCAAAAAGTGCAAGAACTTACACCGCAAAAGAATGAAAATAGACTCAAAAGAGCTAAAGAGTTGCTTCGCTTGGCCGAAGTTGTGAACTGTCGAATTTGGTTTTCTCCGTTGAAAAAACATTCGTTGTCCAGCAGTTTGTAAACCAACAAAATTATCGTATTTCCTTTCAAAAGTTGGTTGGTGGTTGGTCGCTCTCCGCTCGTATTCATTGACCGTGGCATCAGTATAAATGCCGAGTATTATCGCGAAAATATTCTGGAGGGTGTACTAAAGTCTTGAGCACGCAAACATTTTGGCCGCTGACCTTGGACATTCCAACAGGACTTCGCACCATCGCACTCAGCACGCACCACCCAAGATTGGTTACAAAATGAGGTTCTTCGCTTTATTTCCAGAGCAAAATGGCCACCAAAATCTCCGGATACCAATCCGTAGTACAATTGTGTCTGGAGTTTTTTGGAAAGCAAGCTTGCACTAAAAAGTAGCAAAGTGTGGATCACCTCTAGCAAGCGCTTCGCCAGAAATGGGCCAAAATACCGCAAACCAGCATTCGGGCAGCGTGTGACGGTTTCATTGACCGCTTGGAGGCCATAATTCGTGCCAAACGTAACCAATTCGAACAAATCCAAACTTATTTTAAAATTTTATATAATTTCCGATATTTTTTCATTCAGTAAAATTTAAAAAAAAATGTAAAAATTATGGCGTTTGACTTTGTTGCAGGTTTTTATTTCTGCAATTAAAAAATTTGCTGTATTTGGTCCAAAGATCATAGGAGAAATGTCGTTTTTTCGAAAAAGTCTGCTTAGGAAGTCTCGATATTTAGTCATTAACAAATTCTTTAAACATCCAGGATATTTAGTTAGGAGGATCTTACAAAAACTTTTTTTTTTAAATATTTGTCTCAAATATTAGTTTTGGAAGACCCTGAAAAAGTTTAATGCTTCAAAGAGAACCGGAGAACGTTGAATACTTTTTCTTTAAATTTCTATGATATTCGATCAATTTTCAAAGGACCATGGAAGAATGAATAAAAAAGTCTAAGATGCTTGGTTGGGAAATAGTTGAGAAAATTTCTGAAGCTTTTTAAAAGGTTTTTCCTTAGAAAATGTAAGTTAGTTACTCCGATGACGCGGCATTAGTTTGAAAAAAAACGGCAAAAAAATCGTTTGTCTAGCAGGGCCTATCCAAGATATTGTCATATTGAAAATGTTTCTTAAGACACAACCTTCTTAAGAACAATTCTTATATTTTTAGGTCCACGATATTTGGTTAAAAATTCATGATTTTTTTCTTAATATTTTCATAAAAATCTACGACATTAAGTCCGCAGGTGGTAAAAGAAATAAAAAAATTCACAATATTTGGGTTGAGACTTAAAAAGAAATCTACGAAATTGTGTTCTCTAAAATGTTTCTTGAAGATTAACCTTATTAAATAAAATTCCACGATATTTGGTCCGGAATTTCCTTAAAAATTCATGATATTTTCTAAAAAAAATCTACGACATTTAGTCCGACGATACTAGAAAAAAATTAAAAAAACAACAATATTTGATTTTAAAAAAAATATTGAAAAAATCTAAGCACTTCCATGATAATGTTTTCTTAAAAATAACCAATTTAGATCGGAGGTTCTTGTAAAAATACAAGCTATTTGCTTCGGAAATTCTTGAAAAAACCTCTATAGAAACTCTCTTGTTCCAAGTACACTTTAAGTTCTAACACTCATTCTCCAATCTTTTTTTTTAATAAATCCCACAATATGACGCGTTCTGATCGATAAACAAATAACCATGTAGTTGTCAAGTTCATGTTTTCTTTTCTAATTATTAATCAACCGGCACACTTCGTAGATAAATGCCGAACACAGGCCCCCTAGCCCAACAAGCGGCATAATCTGCAAAGCTTATTTCGACAGAGCTTTTGCTCGCTCAATGGAACAGAACAATTTTCAATGGTAGTTGGCGAAAAAATTACTCAACATTTCATCAGTCTTAAATCGTAAGCGGTGAAGAGAATTTACGATACGATATTGACGGTAAATAGCAAAGTATCCAAGCGAGCAGACAAACATTCAGTGAAAACAACTCAACGCGAAAATGTTGAAAACGAAACAACAAATAATAGCTCTGAATAGATTCAGATGTTGGACATCTAACCTTCCGGGTTTGCAACAACAAGTAAGTTTAAATGTGTTTAGAGAAATTTGTTTACATTTGGTTTTTAATAATTATTTTAATAATTATAGTGCCGCAACCAATCCACAGTGACAGCTGCATCATCCAAATGGGAACAGGCCAAGCCATTGAGTGAAATGCCCACCATAAGTCCCTTTCAACTTTTGCGTCATTTTTTTCCGGGTGGCAAATATACCAATCTTGATACCACCCAACTGATGTTGGCTTTTAGACGAGATTTTGGCCCGATAGTCTACTTAAAGGGTAGTCTTGGCAAACCCGATGTTGTCATGACCAATAATCCCCATGACTTCGAAAAGGCTTTACATAATCAAGGCATTTGGCCCATGCGTCCTGGCATGGAATATTTAAGTTATCATCGTCAAGTCCATCGCAAAGACATATTCCAGGGTGTGGAGGGTCTTTTGGGATCGTAAGTATAAATATATGTAGATGAGAAGTGTTAGAAAATAATCAATTATTGTTTTGCACGATAGCAAAGTAGCATTTTTGAAACCCAGAAATGCCTTTAAATGTTATGATTAATATTAAAACAGTTTTTACAACATCGTCAGTTAAGCCATGTATTTCAACAATCTGAGACTTTCTAAATCGCAATGTATTAAGAATTTCGTAAAATTATGGGTTGAACATATACCAAAGACTTTAGAATGATCAGACGGATGATATCTAATTTTGACAATGCTATTACTTCCGAGAAACCAATCGGTGTTTAACCCAATATATTCAAAATATGACCAAAAAATTAAGATAACTAAAATTAAAATAAAGTGAAGCCAAATTCAATATTTTGTGAAACAAATTCAACTTTTTATACCTCACAGCGTGTATATGCTGCGTATATTGCCTTATCGAGATATCGGTTGATACAGAATATTTTGAGTCGATCTACGATATCCGGCGCGCGATAATCTGGATAGGAGTAGTCGAACAAGTTTAAACTTTGTACGAAAGACGGACCAAACCTTTTGGTAGCTCCTACACAAAGAAGCAATATTTTTAAAATAAAAATCATCTCCAAAAAGATTCAAAATGTTTAAAAATCAATTTCAAACTTTGCATATCGTAATATTTGATCGAAAGATAGATCGAAAATAAAAAATATTGTCCCTATGAGCACAATTTTTAATAATCCCTAATTACATATGTGATGGAAATCGAAATATGTAGGGATTTTAAAATTGGTTTTTCTAAAGCTTTCGTATGTATTTCAAGGGTTATATGACATTTCGGCTATATACGTCATGGATTGTAAATAAAAACAAGTAAGCAAAGGCTATAGTCATGCAGGGCCGACCATGTGATACCATACAACACTACAATATGTTGGACGACCCCTTATGTCCAAATCCATTTTAGAAGATTTCACTTTTGAAATTATGTCATAGAGCCCGGTCTAAATATTACTCTAAGGTTTTTGACCGGGGGCATTTACCCAATATTTACTCACTCCGTCTTGTTGTTAGCTATTCAAAACAATTTTACACGAAAGTTGTGGTCCCTTTTTACAGCTTAATATAATCCAATGGTCATCCAAAGTGCTAGATTTCTTCCCTGCCTTAATTCTCTTTTAAAGCAAAATTCCGTGTCGATTGTTTTTCAATTGTGACCAGTACAGCGACTGCAAAGTCCGGACAATTTTAATTGTTTGGTCCATTTGAACCCCTGAATGTACATTTTCTGACCCTAACCCTACGCCCATTCACAATTTCCTGAGGATCGGACGATAATTGCGCTCTGTACATAATACCCTCCACACATGGTGTAAAAAAGAAAATTTACAAAATAAACAATTCAAAATTGTAAGTCAAATTGAAAAAATCGCATGCGCAAGAGACCATTTCGAATTGCTGAGAATTTTGAAAATCAGTCCAGCGGTTCTTGAACAGATTAACAAAGATCTATTTCTTTTACATATATATTGTACATATTTTGCTACGTATCCCATAGCTTGGCTATCGGAAGTGACATTGTGTTTTGCCGGGATTAAAAATGTTCGTGGTTTAATGGAAATTTTCTAATTTTTTAACATTAACAGGCGTGGTTCATTTTACCCGCTAAATATTGTCCGACGATCGTCCAAATTGTTAGGCTTCTGTCCAGCCCCTAACTCTAACTCCATGTAAAATTACGCGTCGATTGGTCGCGTCGATGTGGCTTCTAAAGCAACGGCAAAATCAGGAAACTTTTCTTTTCAATCCCTACATATTCAAAAACAATAGCCTTATATTCTGACACAAATAAAAGAAAGAATTCCGGCTACAAAAGTCGAGGGCTTTTAAAAGGTTTGTCAAAATCTTTTGAGACAGTTAAGTGAATTCCCTGCATATATTTTTTAAACACTTCCTGGCTATATAAATAGTGGATTTCTTTAAATATTTTTGAAAAATTAAGGGTTTTCAAAAAATTATATTGATGGTGTATTTAAAAATATATATTTTTAAAAAACTTCCTGGTCATATGTTTATCAAAAGCTATCGAATCAAGTAAGTTGGATTAAAAAAAAAAGACTTTCCAGGTAAAAATTAAGGATTGTTTTAATTTCAAATTTAATTTCATTTTTCGAATGAAAACTTTTTAAGTTTACCTCTGATTTTAAACCTATTTTTATGTTTTCACCATTTTTTGTAAAATTTTATGTCACTTTCAGGAGTAAACTCGAAAAAAGTCCAAGAAAAAATTGACCAAAAAAAATATAATAAGAAATATTTTAATTTACAATACAATTTGATAAAGAATATTTCTGTCTTTGAGAAGAATATTTTCTATTTCATCCTTCTAAGATGATGAGTTATTGCAGATTTTTGCACAAACTCACACAAATACGGCTTTAATATATATGAATTACTAGCGTTTAGGTAAGATTTATACATTTTAAGATTTATAAATTTTATGATAAGTCATTTTGTAAATTATTTAATTAATTATTCTACGATCCCGTTTAAATTGATTTTTAACCATATTGTCCCCTCTATTTAGTTACTTTGCTATGTAAACTTTCAAACGCCGATTCTTCTTTTTTTAGTTAGTTATATTTGTGGCACAGTGTTATAGAGTCAACAGCCCGGGTGGAAATTCAACTGAGGTCAAACAGAAAACTTATAAGTATATTTACAATTGTCTACAATTGTCGGTGAGAAAAACCTATTTTAAGCAAGATACGAATAAATTCGTAATTTTATTAATGTAATCTGCTATTTCTGCCAAATACTCCACAAAGAAGTAATGAAATTTACCAACAAGTATTTATCTGTAAAAGAGCATAGTCATTGCTACTTGTTATCAGTAGAATTTAGACATCAATAATTTTGATAGCATCAAACTCTATATACAATAACAAATTCAGATAATTAAAATTATATTTGTTAACATTTCGCGGTTCTTGTCCGTGGGGGTGGGAAACTGTGATATATAGGTACGTAGGTACTACGTACGCAGGACACACTTTGATTGGATTTTAAGGGACACTATACGCTTGCAAATCGTTGAATTTTATTATAAAAATGCGTGCTCTGTTAAGAAAGTTTATCGACCGCGACACTCTTTATATGGTCAGATTAATCGGCCTATTTCAATTTTGGCTATTGTAACTAAATTTCGCCCTAAATGTTTTACTCTACACCACACTGTGTTCATTGGCCATTTAACCACCAAAACGCTAAGGTAGAGTGCGAAAAAAATATGGCAGATGATGGCCATCAATTACTCTGTGCGAAGAAATTCAATTTTTTCAATAATTACAAGGAAAATCAAGCAAATTATTAAAGTAGATCTATCACAAGAAGACACACACAAGGCGTTTTTGAAGTTCACATCGAAAAGTAGCCAAAATAGAGGGAATAAGTTCTCCCCTCTTCCATACTTTTGGAAATTGTTCTACAATATTATTTGTTACAGTGAGTTTGTGCAAAAACCTCTAATAAAGCATTATTTTAGAAGAATGACTTCAGAGACAAAAATATGCTTCATCAAATTTCACTATAAGTCACCAAAGAAAAGAAATCTCTATTTCCAATGTATATCAAAAAAATATTTGCAATGTTCCCAAAATAAGGCGAAAATATTTCCTATTTTTTTTTTTTTATAAATTTTTCTTTTTTCGAATTGATACCTGAAAGTAACATATGATTACGTTTTAGACGAAAGGTGTCAAAAGAAGATTTATTCTACACAAAATTTCAGTATAAATTTCAGAATAAACCATTTATCTAGGTACAATAATTTTTTATGAAAATTACATTCAAAATTTATGTATCCATTTAACACGGTTCCAACCCTACTCAAAATCTTTCTTTGCATACATAAATTTTCGGAGAAAGTGTTAAAGTAAGAATTATTCTAAATAAAATTGGAAAATGACAACTGGACTTGATATTTCTCATTTTTAGATCAAAACTTCAAAGTGATTTTGGGCTAATAGGCCAAATGTTGTTAAGGTCCTTAGTTTTTCTTAGTTTTCACCATATACAAAATTGAGATCCATATAGTTTATATTCCGCTATAATTGGGATATATAGACGTCGATTCACATGTCATTTATTTCTTTAATTTCCTTCTTTTATTTTTTAATTATTTACCAGACATTTCTTGTAATTATGGAAAAAATAATTTTGTCGCACAGTGTCATTCCGAGTGATTTCAACAGATTCTATTCTGCAAAAAAATTATTTTTGGCTGAAAGACATTTTGCTCTTCTGAAAATATGAACTGACATAAATCATATCACCCAGGTGTAAAACATTTCGAAAGCATGTTTTAATACATTTTCCAATCTCTATATTGTGAACATAAAGAATTTAAGTAAAGAACTTGAAACATTTTCATATTTTTTTGAGTTTGTATCTTAGAGTGCATATTGACATAATTTAGTCTGACGACTGATTTAAATTAATTTCGCTTTATATTTACAGACAAGGAGAAGCATGGGGTTCATTTCGATCGGCCGTAAATCCAGTTTTAATGCAACCCAAGAATGTCCATTTATATTTCAATAAAATGTCGGAAGTCAATAAGGAATTTATGGAGCGGTAAGTTCCCATTTCTAAATAAACTCCATGAATAATATACCTAAAACTAACCTCTTTTCAAATAGAATTCGTAAAATTCGTGATCCTCAAACCCTGGAAGTTCCCGATAATTTCGAGGAAGAAATTAATCGTTGGACATTGGAATCGGTATCTGTGGTGGCGCTGGACAAACAATTGGGTTTGATTACCAAAAATCGTGATGATCCAACACCGAAACGTCTCTTCAAAGCTCTGACGGATTTCTTTGAAGCATCTGGTGATTTGGAATTCCAGCCATCCATATGGAAGTACATTAAGACACCAACATTTAAAAAGGCCATCAGAAGTTTGGATGAAATCACCGATATTACCAAAATGTATGTGGATGAGGCCTTCGAACGCATCGAGACTGAGAACAAAAATCGCAATGAGGAAAAGCCGGAAAATGAAAAGAGTGTTTTGGAGAAGCTCGTCAAGATTGACAAACAAATTGCCATGGTTATGGCCATGGATATGCTGATGGCTGGGGTGGATACGGTAAGGAGAATTTTAAAATGTGTGTGTTGGTTTTTTGTTAACATATTTCCACTTTTTCTAGACTTCTTCCACCTTTACGGGTCTTTTACTATGCTTGGCCAAAAATCCCGAAAAGCAACAAAAATTGCGCGAGGAAATCATGCAATTGTTACCCCAAAAGGATTCAGAATTCAATGAAGCTGTTTTCAAAAACATGCCCTATTTGAGGGCCTGCATCAAGGAATCGCTACGTGTCTATCCCTTGACGGTGGGTAATGCTCGCACCCAGGCCAATGATGTTGTGATCAGTGGCTATCGTGTTCCCAAAGGTACTCTGATATCCATGAACTCGGTGACTCTAATCAAAGATGATGCTCATTATCCTCGTGCCCGTGAATTTTTACCCGAACGCTGGTTGAGAGCTTCCAAGGAAAATGAAAAATCCGCTGAATGTCCACATGCCTTGAAGGCCAGCAGTCCTTTCGTTTATTTACCTTTTGGTTTTGGATCCCGTAGTTGTATTGGCCGCCGTATTGCCGAAATGGAATTGGAATTGGGCATAGCGCGTCTGATTCGCAATTTCCATGTGGAATTCAATTATCCCACTGATAAGGCTTTCAAGAGTCTGTTGATAAGTGTCCCCAATATCCCATTGAAATTTAAATTTACTGATGTAAACAATTAAAAAAAAATGAATGTGAGAAATATTTGTAGAAAAAAAAATTGTAAAAAATTATTTATTGTACAGTATTTATGGTTTATCTAGAAATATTAAAAAAGAAACTGTGTGAAAGAATAAAACATAAATAAAATATTAAGAAAAGAAATGTGGTGAAATTAAGCAAGAGCCCAGCTATAGTTTTCAAAAAGTCCAACGACTTATTCTTTAAAATTTTGGCTTTACAGGGTGAGAAAAAAAAATGCAATAAAGTCACACGCCATAACATTTACCTTCTTTTAATTTGTTTTTGAATGAAAGCAAAATATAGTGTCAAAATAGAATAGTGTCAAATTTTAGAATAAGTTTAGATTTGTTCGAATTGGTCATATGGGGCCATACCAAAAAGTTGGCCCATATGGCCCATTTTCCGTTTGTCTGTCCATCGCATAGTATAACTATTGAGATGAAATTTTCCAAACAATATTTGTTTGGACCAAGGACGACCCTATTGAAATTGGTGCAAATCAGTTCAAATGCACATAAACAGGATGAGATAAAAAACTGCAACCAAATTCAGACTGCTGTCATTTCTAACTGGCTGACTGTTAAAATTATTGACAGCTCATTATATTGGTTACATGTGTGCTAAAGCATTTTGGTGAGGATTTTCCGAAATATAGTTATTCGTGATGGAGTTTAAGCGTGATAACGTGATTTTTTTTATATTTGGCTAGAAAACCACTAGTGGCTATCGTTAGAGTACTCCAGCATTTAAATGTGAATAAATCTTTTGTGTCTCGTACCATCGATCGTTACCGTGATGAGCCCGACATCAAGGAAGTGGACGGAAGAAAACAGCAACATCAGCAGAAATGGTTCGAAAAATAAAGAAGCTACTTGTTCGAAACCCGCGTCGTAGTGGCCGAAAAATGGCAGGTGAGCTGAACATATCGCAATATTCCATTCGGCAAATATTGAAAAATGAAAAAAAGTGTTTACCTGCCAAAGAGCTCAGCTAAAAATGTTCACCCTTGGTTGGCCATCAAAACTCAAGCGCCGGCCATGGTGATGGTGTGGGCTGCTATAACAGCCGATGCTCGCTCTCCGCTTGTATTAATCGACCGAAAGTAGCGAAAATATTCTGGAGGGTGTATAAAAACCTTGGGTTCGCAAACATTTTGGCCGAAGACCTTGGACATTCCAACAGGTCTCAGCACCATCGCACTCAGCACGCGCCTCCCAAGAATAGTTACAAAATGAGGTCCCTCGCTTTATTTCCAGCGTACAATGACTACAAAAATCTCCGGATACTAATCCGTTGGACTATTGTGTCTGGAGTATTTTGGAAACCAAGGTTGGCACTAAAAAATACCAAAGTGTCGATCACTTCAAGCAAGCGCTTCGTCGGGAATGGGCCATAATACCGCAGAGCAACATTCGGGCAGCGTGTGACGGTTTCATTCAATAAAATTTCAAAAATTTAAAAATTATGGCGTTTGACTTTGTTGTAGTTTTTTATCTCGCCCTGAATATATATTCGGTGTCAGCGTAAAATTCTATGTCGATTTAGCAATGTCCGTCTGTTGCAATCACGCTACCTTTCGAACGAATTGGGATAGAAGGCTAGCATTTTACACTCATGTTCGTAAAAGGGCCATATTGTTTCACACTTTCGTATAGCCCATATATATATAAGATTTGCTTCAAACTTTTCATTTGAGGATTTCAATGAGTTCAACAGCTTATGACAAAAAATTGCGTATGCAGGTCAACGTCTTCGTATAGCCCTCATATGACTATACATCCCTATATACGGTATGTTGATGATTTTAGCCACATTATTCATTCATCGTTTTACATTTGGCATTTGAAGATCGTAATGGTTACTACAACCTACGATAGAAAATTATCTATGCAGGTCCGCGTCTTCGCATAGCACACATGTAACGATATCTCCCTTTACTCGGTATTTTGATAATATTAGCGAAATTATTCTGGGGAATTGTTTCATTTTTCGTATTTGAAGTTCTGAAACGGCATTTTTGATGCAAAAAATAATATCAATATGATAAATAAAATTTAATTTTTTTACTGTGCATATTTTGTTGACAAATTATATACAACTGATAAAAATATCACAGGGTCACTTTTGACTAAAACATAATGCAAAGACCTGTCCACTTTTTGATAGTATATAATAATTGATATGAGTCAATGGAATAACTTTCGTAAGGGTCCATTGAATAAAGATATCAATGCATAAATTATACTAACAAGAATTAGATACATACAATTTTATAGCCATACTTTTTAACAAAATTCTTAAATAATTCCTTCCCCCTCCGTAGTGTTTCTGCCCAATATTTCACCTCTACATAATTTTTTTACCGATTTCTGTTTTCAAACACATATTCGTAATATAAACAATTAAAAAAAGAAATAAAGGGAGAGAGCGAAATCAATTAATAAATTATTTGACGCGAATTAAAATTTCGCTATACGCTTGAAAAGCTCTCATTTGAGCGAGAATATTTTGTTATCAGTCTGCCTACACTCAATCAAAGCACGTCTATTATCATTTGAGGAATTAAGAAGCGTATAGTTAATGATTGGCCGTTTCGTCTGTTTGTCTATCCATTCTAACACGATGACAATGTTCATGCTTTCTTTAGATATTTACGAGGGTAGTATTGCAATTTGGATCAAAAGTTAAAAAGTTTCAGTCGGCAACACACAATATGGGTATGTACACATGGACTAAGCAATTACCACAAAAAAAATAAAGAAATAATAATAAAAATTCAGATTCGTGAAGTTTTGTAGAATCACTATCACTAAAATTAATTTTACCAATTCCAGGGATAATGGATAGAAAGAGCTTGAATTGAAAAATAACTTCTATGAAAAAAAACATTTTTTTTTTACCCAAGTGACGAGATCGTAAGCTCAATAGAAGAGGAACCAAAGAATTAAATAAAAGTACAATTCATTTGGAAAATCTTCTAAATCTTACAACCGCACTTATAAACATTTACATCATTCTCCATTAATAAACAATCGTTGTTTTTATAAAAACAACAATAAAAGGGATTAAGCCTGACCATTTTGAAATAACAAAATACTATGGTATCCCGAACAAACAAAGCCAACACTGTTCTATTCTTAAAATATTTATAAAAACCTCACCATTTTTCAATAATGTTCCTAAGAAGCCCAAAATGTTTGTCCGGGAATATTTATGGTTCGGAAGTTTCGAGAAATATTTTTAAAAATCCAAAAGCTCATTCCAAGTGTTTTAAGAAATCTAAAATTTTTAGACAAGTCGTCCTTGATACCCATTTTTATACCCTACACCCATGTCATGGTATTATGTCTTTGTGCATTTGTTTGTAACAGGCAAAAGGAAACGAGATAGACCGATAGTTCCTTTTGATGATATGCAGCATCACATTCTGAGTCGATCCGTCAGTCTGTCTATGCATGTTGTAAACAAAGTACAGTAAATTATTTTTGAAAAACCTCCACGATTCATAATTGAAAAATTATTTTTTAAAACTTAGATTTTTTTTAATTCAGCTACTTAAAAAAATTATTTAAAACAAAAATCATGGTTAAGGTTCCTGCATTTCATGAAAGTATATGGTCAATAAATCCTTGAAAATTATTTTTAACCAGTAAAGAAAGTCTTAAAGTCGGGCGGGGCCGACTTTATGATACCCTACACCACTTTGCTAATTTAGTAGAGCTCCGCATAACAATTAAAAGTTTTTATGGGAGATTTCAATCATACACGCTATGATTATAATTATAATTTAAAGTTCAAAGGACTAAATATGCCGATGCATTTGTATCTTTTAAATTCGGACTTGTTTTGCCCAATTGGTGCACAATTAATTTGAAATCGGATAAAAATATATATGGGAGCTATATCCAAATCGAAACCGATCTCGAAAAAAGTTGGCAAAGATATTTCGGAGCTGTATTTGATATATTTCCCTGAATATCGTTGTTACGGAGTGCATATTACGGTTGTGGGTAACAAATATGACAAATCGGATGAACCGTATATATGGGAGCTATAGCTATATCTGAACCGATCTTCACCAAATTTGACATACCAACTTCTAGACTCAGTTCGGTCGTAAGTGCCAAATTTCATAAAATTTGGGCAAATATTAGACGTTTGGTGCACAATCAAAGGTAAATCGGACGAAGTTATATATTGGAGCTATATCCAAATCTGAACCGATCTCGATAAAATTTAGCAAATGTATTTCTGAGGTGTATTTGATATATTTCCCCAAATATTGTTGTTACAGAGTGCATATTACGGCTGCGAACGGCAAAAATAGCAAATCGGATGAAAAATATATATGGGAGCTATAGCTATATCTGAACCGATTTCGATCAAATTTGGCGTACTTATTTTCAGGCTTAATTTGGTTGTATGTGCAAAATTCCATACTATTCGAGCTGATATTACACGTTTGGTGCACAATAAAATGCAAATCGGACGAAGATATATATGGGAGCTATATCCAAATTTTGACCGATTATATCCAATTTCAATAGGGTTCGTCCTTGGGCCAAACAAATGATTTGTGCCAAATTTCATCCGGATAGGGCAATAAATGCGATCTGTATTTTGTTTACAAAAATACATGGACAGACGGACGGACGGACATGCATAAATCGACTCAGAATGTGATTCTATGCAGATCATATGGGTCTATCTTATTTCTTTTTGCCTGTTACAAACAAATGCACAAATACATAATACCCTGACCACCTTGTGGTGTAGGGTATAAGAATCCACGGTTCAAGGCCCTTAAAATTATTTTGAAAAAATCTGCGACAAGCTTACAAAAAACATTTTTTAAAAAAATTACAACTGAAAAATATTGAAAAAACTACGATTCATGGTCAAAAAAAATATTTAAAAAAAATTCAATTCATGTAAAATATTTTTTAAAACATTAAAATTTGTGGTTCGAATTCGTGATCAGGAAAAACATGACCAGAAAAAAAATAAAATTAGAAATCCATGATTAACAGTTGGAAAAAACCACTTTAAGTTCCCCCTCAGCTAGAAGGATTGCTTTTTCCAATTGACGACTAAAGAAATATGACTAGAAAGAACTTATTTACATTTTGCAATCCCACCTCGTAAATGCCAAATATTAAAAGCTCTGCTAATGATCTAGCATGAGAATTTTGCGAATAGTTTTCTAGCACCCAGTTAGTCGCAAAACTGCTGTGGAAGAAGTCGTTTGATATTTAAGAATAAATCAAAATTGGAAAAATAGTTAAACACAGCAATGTTAAAAACAAGAATTTGCCAAATCACCACAAAAAATTCTAATTTTCGAAGTATTATTCTGCTCAATTCCGCCCCAGCTCTAAAGAATCAAGTGAGAAAGAAAAAAATAAATAAATTAATAGAAAAAAAGCATTTTTTATTAAATTAATTCTAGTGGCGTTCGCGTTCATCAATTGCCGCCACGACAGATATAAACAATGGCGAAGCGAATATTGCCAACAGTCAAACGGAATGGGAACAGGCCAAACCATTCGAAGAAATGCCCAAAATGAGTGGTTTCCAATTTCTTAAGAATTTTCTTCCTGGAGGAAAGTACTCTAAATTGGATACATCACAACTGATGTTGGCTTTGAAGGAGGACTTGGGACCAATTGGTCGTTTGAAAATTTCTCCCGGCCAACCCTACGCCGTTTTCACTCACAATCCTCAGGATTTTGAAATGGCTCTGCGCAATGAAGGCATTTGGCCCGTCCGTCCCGGTTCAGAGGCTTTATTTTATCATCGTAACGTCCATCGGGCTGATGTCTTTCAAGGCGTTGAGGGTCTTATCGGAACGTAAGTGAATCTCATTTGTTTTGTGAATATAACAGTTTTTGCTTATTTGTTCTTTACCGTTCTGCTAAATTTAAGTGCAAAGTGATTTTGAGGCATGACAAGTCATTTTGTATTTGTCAAACTATGACGTAGAATAATTATAGATTGTAAACAATTTAATATTATGGAGTGGAAACAATGACGTATTAAGCATTCTTTTTTGAAGATTAACAATAATTTTGAATTTTTCTGTCACACATGATAGACAAACAAACAATTAAATAAGTTTGACCATTGCGTGACATTCAAATGTCAAAAAGTGGAATTAATTTTTTTTTTTAATGTTGCCTAAAAAAGAAGAATCAGTCCGAATTTATGAAAGTAATGATTATTATTTGTTCTAATGCTCTCGAATTGCGATATACGAAGTTTGAACAAAATCAGAATCTGACTTCGAATTGTACAAGAGTTTCTATAAATTAAACTATTTTACTACGTAGTGAAAGGCGCAGGAAAGTAAGTGGGCCAATATTTTGCATTATCTCTCCTGTTCTAAGCTTTACATAAATCCCACAACGGACCAAGTTTGGACAATATCGGTTTATATGAGTTATGCATGATTTTTTTATTTATTTCGAAATTGTTGAACTTTTTGGAGGTAGAACCAAAGTAGATTTTAGATTTTACATTTTTGTGCATTCTTACACTAGTTCAAAATAGACAAAAAAATTGGGATGTGAACAATTTGAAGAAAATCGGACTTTGAGCTTCATGAACTTTTGTGGGGGAGCTACATTAATATGCGGACTATTATTGTCCATTTTCGATTTTGACCTATATCTTGTCTAAGTGTTAGGATATACTCAGTTTAAACTACATCGGATTCTCCATTCGCTCAATATGAGTTTTTAATGTTTTTTGTAAAAATTTTGAAGTTATGCGGGAGAGGTACCTTAGTGAGTGGACCGATTTAGTCGAATTTCACACTTTCTTTTAATATACCCGGCGAGGTGAAAATACTGCAACCAACTTCAGACTGCTGTCATTTCTAAGCCACTCGTCCGACAGCTCATTATATTGTTTACAAGCGTACAAAAGCATTTTGGTGAGAATTTTCCAGAAAAAAAAGTTATTCGTGATGGAATTCAATCGTAATAGTGTGATTTCTTTATATTTGGCTGGAAAACCACAAATGGATATCGTTAGAGTACTCCAGCATTTAAATGTGAATAAATCTTTTATGTCTCGTACCATTGCTCGTTACCGTGATACTGATAGCGTACTCCGACGTCAAGGAAGTGGACGGAAGAAAACAGAAACATCAGCAGAAATGGTTCGCAAAGTAAAGAAGCGACTTGATCGAAACCCGCGTCGCAGTGGTCGCAAAATGGCTCGTGAGCTGAACCTATCGCAATATTCCATTCAGCAGATATTGAAAAATGAGCTGGGGGTAAAGCCATTGAAATTCGAAAAAGTGCAAGAACTTACACTGCAATAGAAAGAAAATAGACTCAAAAGAGCTAAAGAGTTGCTTCTCTTGGCCAAAAGTGGTGAACTGCCGAATTTGGTTTGAGAAAACATTCGTTGAACAACAGTTTGCAAACAAACAAAATTATCGTGTTTACTTGCCAAAGAGGTCAGCTGCACATTCGGTTGGCCACCAGAACTCAATCGCCGACTATGGTGAATATGTGTGGCGCCCTAACAGCCGATGGTTGCTCTCCGCTCGTATTAATCGACCGTGGCATCAGAATAAATGCCGAATAATATCGCGAAAATATTATGGAGGGTGTATTAAAGCCTTGGGTACGCAAACAATTTGGCCGCAGACCTTGGACATTCCAAAAGGACTCAGCACCATCGCACTCAGCACGCGCCACCCAAGAATGGTTACAAAATGAGGTTCCTCGGACAAATTTATTTCCAGCGCACAATGGCCACCAAAATCTCCGGATACCAATCCGGTGGGTTATTGTGTCTGGAGTATTTTGGAAAGTAAGGTTGGCACCAAAGTGTCGATCACCACAAACAAGCGCTTGGCCGGGAATGGGCCAAAATACAGCAGAGCAACATTCGGGCAGCGTGTGATGGTTTCCTTGACCAAATGTGATCGAAATGTAATATTTGGATGTATGTTGGTATCAGATATGGAGATGGTTTTTTGAATATCCGTACTATAATTGTACAAAATGGTGCTAAATTTAGTAATGGGGAGAATACTGAGCTGAAATCCTGAAATAACATATTAAGGTCACTGTTAGTATCTGGTGTTGAGATCTGGCTGTTCTAAAAGTACCTAATGCTACCGAATTTGGTATAAGTTGAAGTGATAGAGCTGGAATCCTGAAATTTGCTTTGGATGACATTGTTGGTGTCTGTGGTTGAGAGAAAGAGCTGATAGAAAGAGCTCTTTCAATGAAACATGGAAAAATAGAATTTTTGAACATTGTTACGGGTCATATCAGTATATTACGATAAATGGGCTTTTAAAATTGTTAAACATCAAAATTTTAACTTTTGTTAGTGATTTTCGATTTTGAGATCAAACATTTTTTTCATCAAACATTCAATTCCAGGCAAGGCGAAAAATGGGGCACATTTCGATCAACAGTAAATCCGGTTCTTATGCAACCCAAGAATGTACGCCTGTACTTCCAGAAAATGTCGCAGGTCAATAAGGAATTTATGGAAAGGTAAGATCCCAAAAAATCTCTCCCAAAACTTTGCCTTGAATTCTAATGCCTTTTTCCAGAATCCGACAAATTCGCGATCCTCAAACATTGGAAGTTCCCGACACTTTCGAAGAAGAAATGAATCGCTGGACCTTGGAATCAGTATCGGTTGTGGCACTGGATAAACAATTGGGTTTGATTAGTGAAAATCGTGATAATCCCACAGCAAAGCGTATGTTCCAAGCTTTGACCGATTTCTTTAACTACTCCCTGGAAATTGAATTCAAACCTTCGATTTGGAAATATTACAAAACAAAAACGTTCAAAAATTTAATGAAAAGTCTAGATGAAATAACGGATATAACCAGGGATTTTGTTGAAGAGGCCATTGTTCGGCTGGAAGAAGAGCGGAAGATGGGAGTGCCTGAGAAACCGGATAGTGAGAAAAGTGTTTTGGAGAAACTGATTAAAATCGACAAGAAAATTGCCATGGTTATGGCCATGGATATGTTGATGGCTGGGGTGGATACGGTAAGAAACTGTAAACAACACAATTAAAATAAATTATAAATAAAAATTTCTTAACAGACCTCTACAACGTTTACTGGGCTCCTACTGTGCTTGGCCAAGAATCCCGAGAAACAAGAAAAACTACGCGAAGAAGTGCGAAAACTTTTGCCCCACAAGGATTCCGAGTTTAATGAAGCTGTTTTCAAAAATATGCCCTATTTGAGGGCCTGCATCAAGGAGTCGCTGCGTGTCTATCCCTTGGCTATTGGCAATGCTCGTGAACCTGTAAATGATGTGGTATTAAGTGGTTACCGGGTACCCAAGGGAACGCGCGTTTCAATGATTTCTACTTCATTGCTAAACGATGATAATCATTATCCCAGAGCTAAGGAATTTTTGCCGGAACGTTGGCTAAGACCATCCAAAGAGACTGACGGTACCGCCGAATGCCCACACGCTTTGAAGGCTAGCAGTCCATTCATTTATTTACCTTTCGGATTTGGTTCACGTAGCTGCATTGGCCGTCGCATTGTAGAAATGGAGTTGGAACTGGGCATTGCACGTCTGATACGCAACTTCCAAGTGGAATTCAATTATCCCACCGAAAACGCTTTCAAGAGTCTTTTGATTAATGTTCCCAATATTCCATTGAAATTTAAATTTACCGATATCAAAGATTAGGATTTTCGCTTTTTAGGACCAGATTTTAAAAAATGTATGTGTCACGATTTGTAAATTGATTAATAAATATCGATTGTAAATATTACAATTACTATTAGTTATTAGCACTGAACAAAATAAGAAAGTATCAGCCAGTTTGTTGACAAACTGGCATTCAATGACGATTTATGCACGTTTACAGGGTGAGATAAAAAAAAAAGACTGCAACAAAGTCAAACGCCATAATTTTTACATTTTTCTTTTAATTTTATTGAATGGAAGCAGATAATGTCGGAAATAGTATTAAATTTTAGGATAATTTTAGATTTGTTCCAATTGGTCACTTTTGGCACGAATTATGACCTTCAAACTGCCAATGAAACCGTCACACGCTGCCCGAAGGTTGCTCTGCGGTTTTGGCCCATTCCCGGCGAAGCGCTTGCATGAGGTGTTCGACACTGTGGTATTTTTTAGTGTCAACCTTGCTTTCCAAAATACTCCAGACACAATAGTCCAACGTATTCGTATCCGGAGATTTTGGTGGAGATTTTGGAAATGAAGCGAGGAACCTCATTTTGTAACCATTCTTGGGTGGCGCGTGCTGAGTCCTGTTGGAATGTCCAAGGTTGTGGCCAAAATGTTTGTGTGCCCAAGGCTTTAATACACCCTTCAGATGCCACGGTTGATTAATACGAGAGAGCGACCCAAACCATCACCATGGCCGGTGCTTGAGTTCTGGTGGCCAACCGAAGACGCACATTTTAAGCTGATCTCTTTGGCAAGTAAACACGATCATTTAGTTAGTTTACAAACTGCTGGACAACGAATCTTTCTCATCGGAGAAAACCAAATTTAGCTCATTTGAGTTTATTTTCTTTCTGTTGCGGTGTAAGTTCTTGCTCTTTTTGGAATTTCAATGGCTTTACCTCGAGCTCATTTTTTAATATTTGCCGAATGGAATATTCCGATATGTACAGCTCACGAGCCATTTTTCGTCCACCGCTTCACTGCGTCCGCTCCTTTACTTTTCAAACCATTTCTGCTGATGTTGCTGTTTTCTTCCGTCCATTTCCTTGACGTAGCTACCAGTATCACGGTAACAAGCGATGGTATGAGACACAAAAGATTTATTCACATTTAAATGCTGGAGTTCTCTAACGAAAGCCACTTGTTTTTTTCCAGCCAACTATAAAGAAATCACACTATCACGCTTGAATATCATCAAGAATAACTTCTTTTCTGGTAAATTCTCACAAAATTGTAAACAATATAATGAGCTGTCACCGGAATAATTTTAACAGCTGTCGGACGAGTGGCTTAGAAATGAAAGCAGTCTGAAGTTGGTTGCAGTTTTTTTCATCTTACCCTGTACATTGTTAAAAACTGCCTTTAAACGGATTCGTAGCAAATACCCGCATCACAATAAATGCCGAATATTATCGCGAAAATATTCTGGAGGGTGTATTAAAGCCTTGGGCACGCAAACATTTTGCCGCAGACCTTGGACATTCCAACAGGACTCAGCACCATCGTATTCAGCACGCGCCACCCAAGAATGGTTACAAATTGAGGTTCCTCGCTTCATTTCCAGCGCACAATGGCCACCAAAATCTCCGGATACCAATCCGCATTTTAGAAAGCAAGGTCGGCACTAAAAAATACCAAAGTGTCGATCACCTCAGGCAAACGCTTCGTCGTGATGTATGATGATGTAAATATTATGGCGTTTGACTTTGTTGCAGTTTTTTTTTTTATCTCACCCGGAATGGAAAAAAATTACGAAAATTATACCTATTGTAACTCGCTTAAGGAACCAAAATGTAGACCAAAATATTTCTCGTTAATATTGTCAATAATATTGCACACAACACCCTATGCAATGCAATATTTCCAAAAAAAAAACTCAATTCGATAATTTCAACAAATGGCACAATGTAAAATGTAGCTCTACTTAAATAATCTTCTGGGGTTTCCTCTAATTATAGAAAAATTTAATTTCTGTCTCCCTGGGTAATCAAAATACAAATATGTTGTTAAACTGCCTCTTAGCATTCAAAGCTACAGAATTTTGATTAGAAACAAAACAATTTTTGATCCACTGTGCATCGTATGAAAAGCGTTCATCTACCTTTTATCAAAAAGCTTTAAATTGTAATTCTTTTTTTAATAGTTGATATTTTTGTTTTGACCACTTAGCGAACTATTGTGGAACAAACGAGTTAAAGTTGTTAAGCAGTATTATTGGAGAGCAGCTTGAAACCAAACGCAAAATGTTAAAAGGAAGGATTTATACAATTTCCAGAATTAATTTTAATTCTGGGAAACTATTTCCTATAAATGTTACTGCTAGAGGTCTAGAGGAAACAAAACAAGTGCGAAAATAATTTTAAAAATACAATATATTGTTAAAATAAATAAAAAAAATGTCATTTCCAGCAACGTCAACGCTCAACGGTTGCAGCTGCATCGAATATAGAAAAACCGCTGGAGACGGAGTTAGGGAACAACAGCGCGCAAGTGGAATGGGATAAAGCAAAACCTTTCGATGAAATACCCACCATGGGTGCCTTGCAATTTCTTATGAAATTTCTTCCTGGGGGAAAATATTCGAAAATGGACTCTTCGCAAATGATGTTGGCCTTCCGCGAAGATATTGGTCCGATTGGTCGTTTGAAAATCTTTCCCGGTAGACCATACATTGTCTTCACACATAATCCACAAGATTTTGAAAAGGTTTTCCGCAACGAAGGCATTTGGCCTGTGCGTCCTGGTTCCGAAACATCCTATTATCATCGAAGTGTACATCAAGCTAATTTATTTCAAGGAATTGAGGGTCTAATCGGAACGTAAGTGTTTTGATAATTTATTTTGTTATTATACTCCAAATGCATTATATTGCAAATTGTTAGAAAAATATTTTCTTATGCCCAAGCGTATTTGTGTATGCTCGCGAGAGAGTGAGATAATGAGAAAATGATAAACAAATATTACAAGTCATTTTGTTTATTTAAATTGATAGCGATTAATAGTGAGTTTTAATAATATTGATACCCGGCACAATGGGTGGCGACATAGCTTTGATGACAGCAGAAATTTAAAATTATTATAAACCTAAAATTTAAATTAAAAAATTGTGTCCTTAAGAATAATTTACCTTTTGAAAACATCTCGTACATCAAACTTGAAGATTAAGGCATGATAGTAGTTTCCCAAATAACAGCTACACCACCTGAATTCGTTCAAAGAACCCTGCTACAACTCGACCCACTCCGTCTGGTAATTTCTTCATAATCCACGGAATGTTATATAAATTAACTGAGCAAAGAAGCATACTTGGTGAAATAACAAAAAAACTACAACAAAGTCAAACGCCATAATTGTTACATCTTTTTTTTTAATGTTATTGAATGAAAGCAAAAAATGTCGGAAATAGCATCACATCATAGAATTAAATTTAAATTTGTTCAATTGGTCACCTTTGGCAGGAATTATGGCCTTCAAACTGCCATCATACGCTGCCCGAATGTTGCTCTGCGGTATTTTGGCCCATTCTCTGCGAAGCGCTTGCTTGGGGTGATCGACACTTTGGTATTTTTGAGTGCCAACCTTGCTTTTCAAAATACTCCAGACACAATAGTCCAACGGATTGGTATCCTGAGATCTGGGTGGACATGAAGCGAGGATCCTCATCTAGTAACCATTCTTGGTCTGCGGCCAAAATGTTCCTGTGCCCAAGGCTTTTATACACCCTCCAGAATATTTTCGCGATAATAATTGGCGAACTAATAACGGCAGTTATTTTGATGCCACGGTCGATTAATACGAGCGTAGAGCGACCATTGGCCCGTCCACTTCAATGACGTCGGGCTACGCTACCAGTACGACGGTAAAGAGCGACGATACGAGACACAAAATATTTATTCACATTTAAATGCTGGAGTGCTCTAACGCTCTATTTGTGGTTTTCCAGCCAAATATAAAGAAATCCCACTATCACGCTTGAATTCCATCACGAATAACTTTTTTTCTGGAAAATTCTCACCAAAATGCTGTTGTACGCTTGTAAACAATATAATGAATTGTCACTGGAATAATTTTAACAGCTGTTTAAAAATGACAGCAGTGTGACCCTGTATATATGCGTAAAAGATTTTGTCCTCTTCTGATTTTCATATCAATGATCACTTTTATTTTTAGATATATTTTACTTTTGTCGGAATACTATTTAATAGTTACAATAGAGAATATATATAAAAAAAGATTGCTACGATTCTCTTTAAAGAGATTTTGAAAAAAGGACCAAAAGTACAGCTTTTGTGGACTGACTTGTGGGTTACAATTTCCATAAATGTAATGATTACAAGAAGTACTAATCCTTATATTTCAGAATCTATCAGTGAAGGTAAAATAAGTTGCCTTGTGGTGCAAACTATTAAAATTTTGTTTTATTTCCTCTCAATTTCTCTCTATGTACATATCCATAGTTTGCCCTCTCTTTAACATACACTCTACGCTTTGATCAAAATGGTCTTGGTGATTTCAGTCCTCATTCGCTCTCTTTGTTTTGATAACGACTTCTCTCTCTCTCTCTCTCTCTTGTTAACCGATTCTCCGCAGTCTAGAAAGGGTTTTTTTATAGACGAGCTGAAAGGGAGTCTTTTATACACGAGGTGACAAGGAGTTTTTGATATACGAATTGACAGGGAATCTCTGATAGACAAGCTGACAGGGAGTCTTGGATTGACGAACTGAAGAGAATTTTTAAAGACAAGCTTAAGATAACCGAGCTGAAGGAAGTCTTTGATAGACTAGTTGACATGGAGTCTTAGATAGGCGAGCTGACAGGGAGTATAGACGAGATAGACGGAGGGAAAGAACCCTTTGATTGGCGAACAGAAAGGGATATTTGAAGACGAGCTTATTTGACGAACTGAAGGGAATCTTTAAAGACGAGCTGATGATAGTCTTCGATAAACGAGTTGGCAGGGAGTCTTTGATTGGCGAGCTGGCAGGGAATCTTTGATTGGCGAGCTGGCAGGGAGTCTTTGATTGGCTAACTGAATGGAATCTTTAAAGACGATCTGATGGGAGTCTTTGATTGACAAACTGAAGGGAATTTTTAAAGACAAGCTAATGATAAACGATCTGAAAGAAGCCTTTAATATACGAGCTGAAGGAAGTCTTTAATAGACGAGCTAAAAGGGAGTCTTCGATAGACGAGCTGATGGAAGTCTTTGATTGTCAAATTGAAGGGATTTTGTAAAAAAGACAAGCTGATGGGAGTCTTTGATTGACAACCTGAAGGGAATTTTTAAAGACAAGCTGATGACAGTCGATCTGAAGGGGATCTTTGGTAACCGAGCTGAAGGAAGTTTTTGATAGACGAACTGAGAGGGAATCTTTGTAGGCGATCTGACAGGGTGTCTTTATAGACGGGCTGAAAGAGAGTTTTGAGAGACGAGTAAAAGGGAGTCTTAAGAGACGAGTTAAAGGTAGACCTGAAAAACTATTTGAACGGGATCTTCAGAGAGTCTAGAGAGACCAGTTGAAGTGATCCTTGATAGACGAGTTGAAGATATTCCTAATTTTTTGGAACTATAATATCATCATGCTCATTTATCATGATCACTTATTATTTTTTTTTATCTTACAGAAATGGTGAAAAATGGGGTACCTTCCGATCAACTGTCAATCCCGTTTTGATGCAACCAAAAAATGTGCGCTTGTACTTTCAAAAAATGTCTCAGGTCAATAAAGAGTTTATGGAGAGGTAAAATTCCAATAACAACTTTCACAACAATTTACTGCAACTGTTTATATTTTTTTCAGAATCCGTCAAATCCGTGACCCCCAAACCCTGGAAGTTCCCGGCACGTTCGAGGAAGAAATCAATCGCTGGACATTAGAATCAGTGTCGGTGGTGGCATTGGATAAACAATTGGGTTTATTAACAACGAATCGTGATGATCCTGTAACGAGACGTATGTTTCAAGCTTTAACGGATTTCTTTACATATTCGGTGGAAATAGAATTTAAGCCCTCAATCTGGAAATTTTACAAGACGGCGACATTTATGAAACTGATGAAAAGCTTAGATGAAATTACAGAGATAACAAAGAATTTTGTCGAAGAGGCCATACAGCGTCTAGAGGCGGAACGTGAGAGTGGAACGCCAGAGAAACCTGACAATGAAAAAAGTGTTTTGGAGAAACTCATTAAAATTGATAAGAAAATTGCAATGGTCATGGCCATGGATATGCTGATGGCTGGTGTGGATACGGTAAGTTGGAAAAATCTTTAAAATATGTATAAAGAAGGTTCTGAATTATTCGATATGGATGACATTGAAATAATTACTAATTAAAAAAAAACTATTATTTTTTTGCAGACCTCCTCCACATTTACCGGAATTCTTCTGTGTTTGGCCAAAAATCCAGAGAAACAGGAAATCTTGCGCGAAGAAGTCCGCAAACTTTTGCCCCACAAGGATTCAGAGTTCAATGAGACCGTTTTCAAAAATATGCCCTATTTGAGGGCCTGCATTAAGGAATCGCTACGCATGTATCCCCTGACTGTGGGTAATGCACGCGAACCAGCAAAGGATGTGGTTTTAAGCGGCTATCGCATCCCCAAAGGAACTCAAGTTTCAATGGTATTTACTTCCTTGTTAAAGGACGAAAATCATTTCGCACGAGCAGGAGAATTTTTACCCGAACGATGGTTGAGAGCTTCTAACGAGCCTCAGGCCAACACCTCCGAGTGTCCACATGCATTGAAGGCGAGCAATCCATTTATTTATTTACCTTTTGGTTTTGGTTCACGTAGTTGCATTGGGCGCCGCATTGTCGAAATGGAACTGGAGTTGGGTGTCGCTCGTTTGATACGTAATTTTCAGGTGGAATTCAACTATCCCACAGAGAATGCCTTCAAGGGTCTTTTGATCAATGTTCCCAATATTCCATTGACATTTAAATTCACTGATGTTAGAGATTAATCAATTGAGAATATGGAGCATTGCTTGTTTTGCTTTGATTATAAAAGAGTTATTTGTATTGTTAATTAATATTACTTATGTTGATAAAGGAAACAAATAAAAGTTCTTATTAATTTTCGTTGTAATCTAAAACTCAATAGCTTAGAAAAATAATTAGCTTAGAAAAAATTTGTTGTCAGAACAATTGAGAAGTGGCCATGGATATTTTTATGGCGGTTTTTGATAGGATTGGTATGACAAGTATATTCGGCATTTACGTCCATCCTCTTTTGTTTGGTCAGAAATCGGTAGAAACAAGAAATTTTACTTAAGGTAATAAAAAGTAGAGCTACGCAAACCTGCCAACGGATAGTCAAGGAGACACAAGCATAAATCGTACCCACAACACTGTTTAAGGATGGTAATAAATGTCCATGAAGTGACTAATGGCTCATCTTCATAAGGTAACCACGCCCATTCAGTTTTGGTTTCCGGAGTTGCGTCTGCCGGCGTATCCTTGAAATGGAACTGGAATCGTGTATCGCAATTTCCAGGTTGAATTTAACTACCCCACCAAAAAGGCATTTACAAGTCTTTTAATAAATTGTCAAAATATTGGAAAATTAAATTTGCAGATTGATGAGGTATTGTGGTGTATAAAATAAATAGTGGAGTAATAATTGTATAATACATACCTCGATCACTTATAGCATCCAAAAAATTCTGAAATGAAGACATAATAAAAAAATAAAAAACTGTCAATGTTTAGAGACTACGATTTGTAAGTATTAACAAGTAAAAAAGCAGTAAGTTCGGCCTCGAATTAGGACATTTTCAAAAAAAAAAAAAAAAAAATCCATTAAAAATTCTGTTAAAATCTCGGAAGGTGCCGATATATGGGGGGATTAACGATATTGTGGACCTATATAGACAAATCTATGTCTAGGGAAAAATTACTCACAAATAAGACAATTCCGTTTAAAAATGTGGCAAAAATCATCAAAATACCGAATATCGGGGGGTACCGTTATATGGGGGACATACGATATCGTGGACCTATATAGATAATTCTCAGCCAAGGGATAAACTACTCACAAAGAAATCCTTGTGTGGATTTTCATACAATTCCATTAGAAAAGTGACTTAAATCATCGAAATACCAAATATCGGGGGGTACCGTTGTATGGGGGTTATACGATATCCTGGACCGATATAGCCCATCTTCGAACTTGACCTGCCTGCAGACAAAAGACAGATCTGGGCAAAATTTTAGCTTCCTATCCTAATTCGTTTAGCTTGTAGCGTGATTACAACAGACGGACAGACCGACGGACGGACAGGGCTAAATCGTCTTAGAATTTTACGCTGGTCAAGAATGTATATACTTTGTTGGGTCTAAAATGATTATTTCGATGAGTTACAAACGGAAATTAATATACCCTCCATACTATGTATGGTGGAGGGTATAAAAATTTTTATAAACCACTTTGGTCGAGAAATTCTTTAAATTACCCCAAAGAAATCGACGATATTTTTGGTAAAGAGTCATGGATTGAGTAAAATACCTGGAATCCCGCTTTTGAACATATTCTTGAGCTGAACATATCGCAATATTCCATTCGGCAAATATTAAAAAATGAGCCATTGAAATTCCAAAAAGTGCAAGAATTTACACCGCAACATAAAGAAAATAGATCCAAAAGAGCTAAAGACTTCCTTTGGTTGGCCGAAAGTGGTGAACTGCCGAATTTGGTTTTCTCCGCTCGTATTAATCGACAGTGGCATTAGAATTAATGCCGAATATTATTGCGAAAATATTCTGGGGATGTATTGAGTCTTGGGCACGCAAACATTTTTGCCGCAGATCTTGGACATTCCAACAGGACTCAGCACCATCGCACTCAGCACACGCCACCCAAGATGTGTTACAAAATGAGATTCCTCGCTTCATTTCCAGCTCACAATAACCACCAAAATCTCGGGCAGCGAGTGAGTGGCAAAGGTGACCAATTCGAACAAATTTTGATTTCATTCAAATTTTTTTTTTAAAAATATGTAAAAATTATGGCCTTTGACTTTGTTGCAGTTGTTTTTATCGCACCCTGTATTGGTATGGGAAAAATTACAAAAAACAAAAACCGAACATTAAATCCAAGTTTATGCGAAATTACATATTTATCTCAGGTTTCTGTTTGAGAGAAATACTTAGATGTAGCAAGTTGCAAAGAATCACTAACTTGTTTCGCAAGTCATGACAGATAAAAGTATTGAATATTTTGACCCTTTGTGGGTGAGGTACAAGAAGGTCTTTGCAGATATATATCATCTTCACAACAGATCTTGTGTTAGCAAAAATATTTTTTTGTGTAAAAGAGAAGAGAGTTTGATGCTTATTTCGCTTTCTTTGAGCGTTTTGTTTATCAAAATTCGATCAATGGTCTGATCTCTAATGTTTTATATCACATCCTGTGTAAATAGAAGTATTGAGATGTACCAATTCTGAATGATATTGGATGTAAATTTTGCTTTTTTTTGAGCTTTATGGATATTTAAAATTTTGGCCCTTTATGGGGGAGGTACCAGAAGGACCAATATATTCCATTATAATATTAATAAAAATATTGTGATGTGTGATGTAAGTTGAAGACAATCGGACTATAGATGAAGTGGGCCGAAATTGTCCATTTTCGCACCTGACCTGATGCAAATATTCGGATTTTCAAAGTTAGAGCAAAATCAGATTATCCTTTCACTTTCTGTGCAGCAAAACATTTTTTATTTTTTTTTTTTATTTATTTATTTATTTTTTTTTTTTTTAATGCTACCTTTTGTGGGGAGGTAACAGAAGGAGTGGGCCGGTATTGCCTATCTCCGAACTCGATCTATGTTTGATAATAATATAGCGATGTACCAAGATTGGACCAAATCGGATACTCCTTTCGGGAGTTATCGTGCTCATCAGCCAGACAGACAGACGGGCGGATGTTCTGAAACGGATTTTAGTCCAATGAGACTTAAGGTCTAAAACCCTTATTTCTATGAGGCACGTTTTGGCCGGATGAAATATACCCCCGCTGAAGGTATAATAATCATGAATCGCATAAGTCTAATTCCGAATTTCCCAATATTAATTTCAATATCTTTAATCACAGATAAAAAATATATGAAAATATGCAAAGTTGTCGGAACATCGAAAAAAATCTTAATTTTATGAGAGAGTGGACCTTATTATGCATTTTTACATCTGATTTAAGCATAATGCAAATACGTTCGAGTTGTCGTATCAAATAATATGTACCCTCTGCTGTCATAATGCTGAGGGTATTAAATAAGTGCAAATGCGGATATTTAAAAATTTTGGCCCAAAACACTCTCCACACTCATTTGAATAGCACATACAAGAATTTTTGAGAGACAAGCTTAAAATGGCAACGATACACAGAACCATTGTTTATTGCGTGAATACATTTAATTGAATAATTTGTTTAATGTGTTTTGTTTTCGTAATCATATTCATAACAAGTACGAAACTACGAAGCCAGATACAAAAGAAAGACAAAAATAGCACAACAAATATTGAAAAAAGCTTTAGTGTTTGAGAGAACAGAACACTGAGCGTTATGCATTATGCTCAAATATTTTCTAGACACCAATATTAGATCAGTGCTTGGCCGAACTCTGTGCAATAAACTATTGAATAAAATGGTCACAACGATGATTAAATCTCCAAACTATTTGTTTGGAAATAAGCAAAAATACTCGTTATTGAAAAAGAAATTATGTCAAGTAAGAGAAGTAATTAAATATAAATTGTTAATTTCATTATTTTTTTATGGATTTTTAATATTTAAGTTTCGATTCTTGGCATCACAATCCACCAACTCAGTGCGGGAACCGGAATCGAAAAATTCCTTCACACAACAATGGCAAGCGGCTAAACCATACGAAGATATTCCTACAATGCCACCCCTGAAAATGTTGCTAAATTTTTTACCCGGAGGAAAATTTGCCAAACTTGACATTTCCGATATGTTTATGGCATTGCGTTCGGAATTGGGTCCGATATGTAAGATGAAAGGCGTATTTGGTCGACCCGATATGGTCATCACTCATAATCCCCAGGATTTTGAAACGCTGCTACGAAACGAAGGTGTCTGGCCCAATCGTCCCGGTTCGGAGGGTCTGAGCTATTATCGACGTGTTCATCGTGCGGATTTTTTTCAGGGCGTCGAGGGACTAATTGCCTCGTAAGTTAAAAAAGGGCATTTGAATAGATGTTTTCATATCTTTTATTAAAAAAAAAAAAATTGCGCCATGAGTAGTAGACTAATACAAGAGACCGTTTAGAGAAAATCTCTATATCTTCTAAGAGAAAATATAGAGATCTGGAGTTTTTTCTCTTAGAAAGGATCTTGATTTATAAATCTTGTCTTCGAAGATCCTCCATCTGTGAGATCTTGCTATTGTTAATACAGAAATATTTTTGTAGAAGATCATCTTCTAAAAGACTTGGAGATTTTTGTGATATTAAGATTATTTTTAGAACAGATCTAGATATCTTTTTATAGCAGGTCTGGACTTCTTCTTTTAGAATGTCTAGAGATCCTTTATAAAAAATATCTTAAGATCTCTTCTTAAATGATCTGGAGAACATCAGGAGATCTTTTCTTAAAAGATGTGCACATCTGCTCTCAGAAGATCTACATATCTTCTCTTAGGATGTTTAAAGTCCTTCTCTTCGAAAATCAAGGGATATTTCCTCAGAAGTTCTAGACATATTCAATCAGATCTAATTGTCTCTCAGAATATGTAGATATATTCTCCCAGAAGATCTAGAGATCTTCTCCTAGAGGATGTATGTATATATTCCTCCAGTAGATCTAGAGATTTTTTCCCAGAAGATGTAGAGATATTCTCTCAGAAGATCTAGAGATATTCTCTCAGAAGATCTAGAGATATTTTCTCTCAGAAGATATAAAGATCTTCTTTCAAAAGGTGTAGAGGTCTTCTTTCAGAAGATCTAGATATCTTCTCTCAGAAGTCTAGAGATCTTCTCCTAGAAGGTTTCGAGATCTTCTCTCAGAAGATTTAGAGATATAGTCTTTAAAGAGAGAGATCTTCTCTAAGAAGATCTAGTTGTCTCTCAGAAGATGTAGATATATTGTCCCAGAAGATCTAGAGATTTTCTCCTAGAAGATGTATGTATACATTCCTTCAGAAGACCTAGAGATCTTCTCCCAGAAGATCTAGAGATCTTTTCCCAGAAGATGAAGAGATATTCTCTCAGAAGATCTTGAGATGTTCCCTAAGAAGATCTAGAGGTATTCTCCCAGAAGATCTAGAGATCTTTTCTCAGAAGGTTTAGAGATCTTCTCTCAAAAGATTTAGAGATCTACTCTTTAAAGATGTAGAAATCTTCTCTTTAAAGATGTAGATGAATTATCTTGGAAAATCTGGAGATATTCCCTCAGAAGATCTGGAGGTCTTCTCTCGGATTCTCTGAAGGCAACATTTCACATGAAGATATGCTCTACGAAGTTCTAAGGGGGGATCTTGAGAGATCTTCCCATAGAGAATTTCCAGAGATCTTTCTATAGAAGATTCCTAGAGATCTTCATATCTTCTTCCTCGAGAGATTGGGAAATATGATTAGAAAAGATCTGTAGATCTTCCTATAGAAAATCTGTAAGTCTTTTCATAGGAAATATAAATAAAATAAAATAGGATAAAATAAAGCCAAATACTCTCAAATTTTGTTACACCAATTCATTTTAGTCAAGGCGAACAATGGGGTTCATTTCGTACCAAAGTTAATCCGATTTTAATGCAACCCAAAAATGTACGCTTGTATATGGACAGAATCTCACAAGTCAACAAGGAATTTATAAAAAGGTAAGGTCGCCCAATTAAAGTAACAACTTCATCACGCATTTGCCTATTACATTTCAGAATTATTGAAATCCGCAACCCAAACACTAACGAAGTTCCTGAAAATTTCGAAGAAGAACTCAACTTGTGGGCTCTGGAATCGATTTCGATTGTGGCTCTCGATCAAAAATTAGGCCTTTTAAGTGGCAAACGCAATAATCCAGAGGTTCGCAAATTATTCCGCCTACTAATCGATTTATTTACACTTTCGGTAGATATTGAATTTAAGCCACCAATTTGGAAATATTACAAGACAAAGACCTTCAGAAAGATGATGAAGACAATGGATGGTATTACTGACATTGTCAGCCGTCATGTGGAGCAGGCCATAGAGCGTATTGAAAAGGCGGAGCTAAATGATTCATCTGCCAATGGCAACAGAGAGCCAAGTGTGTTGGAGAAATTAATAAAAATCGACAAAAAGGTGGCCACCGTTATGGCTATGGATATGTTGATGGCGGGCATTGATACGGTTAGGGGACATTTGTTAGACCATATATTAAATTAAAAAAATATTAATTCCTTTTTATCCAATAGACCACATCTGCCTTTACCGGCTTGCTCTTGGTTTTGGCAAAAAATCCCGACAAACAGGAGAAGTTACGTGAAGAAGTCATGCGGTTATTACCCCACAAAGACTCCGAATTTGATGAGCAGACCTTCAAAAATATGCCCTACTTGAGGGCCTGTTTAAAAGAGTCTCTTCGCATTCATCCCTTGGTCTTGGGCAACGCTCGTGTCTCTGCGACAGACATGATCTTAAGTGGTTATCGAGTACCAAAGGAAACACAAATTATGATTGTTTACCTCTCGCTTATCAACAATGACAGTTATTATCCCAGATCGGGGGAATATTTACCTGAACGTTGGCTCCGGTCGGAAGTAGAAAATGAGGAAAATCCCATAAAACCTCGCAGCGCCTTTGTAAATTTTCCTTTTGGATTTGGTGCTCGCAGTTGTATTGGCCGTCGTATTGTTGAAATGGAAATGGAACTGGGCATAGCCCGTTTGGTTCGGAATTTTCATGTGGAATTTGACTATCCCACGGAGAATGCCTTTAAAACTCTACTGTTTAGAGTACCCAATATTCCGCTGAAATTTAAATTCACTGATGTTGAAAATTGAATAAATTCGTAAGAGAATATAAATAAATAATGGGGAAATTAATATACAAGTTTATAAAAGTTCGAGGATGTAACAAAAAATTGGAACACAATAAACGCTCGTGCATTTTTAAAAATTTGATTGAATGCCTATATAGGTTCGTGAATTTAAAAAAATGAACGACAATAAACGCTCGTGGATTTTTAAAAATATCTCTGAAAGACTATAAACGCTCGTGTTTTTTTTTAGCTCGCGGTTTTATTTAATTTTTTATTTTTGAAAACCAATAAACGCTCGCGGACTTTTTAAAAATATTTTTGAAAGATTATAAACGCTCTTGGGTTTTTTAAAAATATTTTTGAAAAATTTTAAACCCTCGTGTTTTTTTTTTTTTGAAAGACCACTAACGCTTGTGGATTTTTAAAAATATTTTTGAAAGACTTTTTTTAAAAATTCGTGTATTTTTTTAAAATATTTAATATTCAAACGCCACAATTTTATTTTTTAGTTTTATTGAATGAAAGCAAAAAATGTCGGAAATATCATAACATTTTAGAATAAGTTCAGATTTTTTCGAATTTGTCACCTTTGGCACGAATTATGGCCATCAAACGGCCAATAACACCGTCACACGCTGCCCGAATGTTGCTCTGCGGTATTTTGGCCCATTCCCGGCGAAGCGCTTGCTTGAGATGATCGACACTTTGGTATTTTTTAGTGGCAACCTTGCTTTCCAAAATACTCCAGACACAATAGTCCAACGGATTGGTATTCGGAGATTTTGAAGCGAGGAACCTCATTTTGTAACCATTCTTGGGTGGTGCGTGCTGAATGCGATGGTGCTGAGTCCTGTTGGAATGTCCAAGGTCTGCGGCCAAAATGTTTGCGTGACTAAGGTTTTAATACACCCTCCAGAATATTTTCGCTATAATATCTGGCATTTATTCTGATTCCACGGTCGATTAATACGACCAGAGAGCGATCATCGACTGTTATGGCGGCGCACACCATCACCATGGCCGCCGCTTGAGTTCTGGTGGCCAATTGAAGGTGCACATTTTCAGATGACCTCTTTGGCAAGAAAACACGATCATTTTGTTTGTTTACAAACTGCTGGACAACGAATGTTTTCTCTTCGGAGAAAACCAAATTCGGCAGTTAACCACTTTCGGCTAAGCGAAGCAACTCTTTAGCTCTTTTGAGTCTATTTTCTTTCTGCTGCGGTTTAAGTTCTTGTCATTTTTGGAATTTCAATGGCTTTGCCCCAAGCTCATTTTTCAATATATGCCGAATGGAATATTGCGATATGTTCAGCTCACGAGCCATTTTTCGGTCACTGCGACGAGGGTTTATCTTTTTGAGGGTCGCATCTTTTCGAACCATTTCTGCTGATGTTGCTGCTTTCTTCCGTCCACTCCCTTGACGTCGCCCTACGCTACCAGTATCACGGTAACGAGCGATGGTACGAGACCCAATAGATTTATTCACATTTAAATGCTGAGGTACTCTAACGATAGCCACTTGTGGTTTTCCAGCCAAATATAAAGAAATCACACTATCACGCTTTAATTCCATCACGAATATTTTTTTTTCTTTTTTTTTGGAAAATTTTCTCCAAAGTGCTTTTTTACGCTTTTAAACCATAGAATGAGCTGTCACTGGAATAATTTTAACAGCTGTCGGACGAGTGGCTTAGAAATGAAAGAAATCTGAAATTGATTGCGGTTTTTTTCTCCCACCCTGTATATAGTGTAGCAGTGCCGAAGCATTTGTACAAGGCTTTGGGATATCAAGTAGATATATCGAGGCAATATCAAAACTTTAAACTAACTACTTCCCACTTGCACATATCTCAATAATACATTCAAATAATTTTGGTTAAATTCTGGTGGGAAATTAATTCTTAATCCAACAATGCCATTGCAAACGTAAAACATGTAGTACCAAATTTTCCATCCCTGAAAAACTCACAATTATCGCTTTCATTTTGAAGTAAATAATGGGAGAGCGTTCTGTTTTCGGCCGGCTTATCAATTAATAAAAAGCGTATTCATGACAACATAAACAACTAGTTCACAGGCAGACGCTGGCAAAGCCATAGCTTTTATTTTGTTTTGACTTATTTTGTGTTTTTTACGCTTTCGCGAATATGATAAAATATAAACAATACTCGAGAGCCATTGTGGCACTACGACAAAGGGGAGCGCAACAGGTAATAACAATAGCAGAAATTGAATTAAAAATCACTCGATTTAATTAAATTGAAATTATTCTCTTTTCTTAGTATTCAACAAATGTCACGAGCGCTTCACAGCCTGATGTCAAGGCCAACAACACCACCACCATTAGTCCAGAATGGCAGGAGGCCAAACCTTTCGAGGAGATGCCATCGATGAACTCTTGGCCCATCATCAAAAATATGTTACCTTGGGGTAAATATGGCAAAATGGAACCGACGCAATTCCTAATGGCCCTGCGCGATGACATGGGACCGATTGTAAGAACTGCTGCTTTTATGGGCCGACCACCCACAGTGATTACCCACAATCCACATGATTTTGAAATGGTATTTCGCAATGAGGGCATTTGGCCCATAAGACCCGGCGGCGATGCCCAAATGTATCATCGCACGGTGCTGCGAGAGGATTTCTTTCAGGGTGTCACCGGTCTGGTGTCTGTGTGAGTATTTATGTTTTCAGTTTTTATAACCTCCACCATACATAGTAACTCATCGAAATAATAATTTTAGACCCAACAAAGTATATATATTCTCGATCAGCTCAAAATTCTAAGACGATTTAGACCTCTCCGTCCGTCCGTCTGTTGTAATCACGCTACAAATTTTTCAAAGGAAGTGTCGTAAAATCCAAACAAGGGGTTAATTCTTTACCCTCTAGAAGAGAATCGTCCACGTCTTCGAATAGCCCCCATATAAGGGTTTTCATTTGAGCAGTATTTTCCGAAGGAATTTTTTTTTAAATTTCTTCCAAATTGTAGAGGGTATCCAAAGCTGCTTTTTTACTTATTTTTATTTTATCCGACAATAAGTTGAAACATGAAATCAAGCACACACAACTGAACACCTTTATACCTACCTACCTACCTTATCACTAAATTGAAATGTAGACATCTGTTGGGTGATACAGCAAATTTGGAAGGAAAAACAACAGCAACAAATAATATGCGATAAAATTAGTCCACTAAATTGATAATCATTTGATCGATTTGTGGGTGACTCATTACTTGCCAGTTTATAATGTAGATAAAAATTTTGGAATGACCCAGTCGCGTCAGCAAACTTTTAGGTATACCTCTTCTTTCTGTAAGGAGATCTATTTTTCTTTTACATAAAAGCCGCTTGTTTCTTCTTATGGCAGCAGATTAGGTCTTTTATAGAAAAACCAAATTTTTTCTAATACAAGATAAGTCTTTTTACACAAGTGGGTCGTCTTCTACAAATCTAATGAGTCTTTTTATAGAGATATAGTAATAAAGGGTTAGATAAATAAACTGCAACAAAGTCAAACGACATAATTTTTACTTTTTTTTTATATATTAGCGAATGAAAGCAAAAAAAGTCGGAAATAGCATCAAATATTAGAAAAAGTGTAGATTTATTCGAATTGGTCACCTTTGGCACGAATTATGGCCTTAATACGGCCAATGAAACCGTCACACGCTATCCGAATGTTGCTCCGCGGTATTTTGTCTCATTTCCGGCGATGCGCTTGTTTGAGGTGATCGACACTTTGGTATTTGCCAATCTTGCTTTAAAAAATACGCCAGACACAATAGTCCAATGGTTTGGTATTCGGAGATTTTGGTGCCCTGTGCGCTGGAAATGAAGCGAGGAGCCTCATTTTGTAACCATTATTGGGTGGCGCCAAAATGTGGCCAAAATGTTTGCTTGCGATTAATATGAGCGGCGAGCGACCATCGGCTTTTATGGCTGCCTACACCATCCCCATGGCCGGCACTTGAGTTCTGCTGGCCAACCGAAGGTGCACATTTTCAGCTGACCTCTTTGGCACGTAAACACGATCATTTTGTTTGTTTACAAACTGCTGGACAAATAATGTTTTCTCATCGGAGGAAACCAAATTCGGCAGTTCACCACTTTCGGACAAGAGAAGCAACTCTTCAGCTCTTTTGAGTCTATATTCTTTTTGTTGCGGTGTAAGTTTTTGGACTTTTTGGAATTTCAATGACTTTACCCCGAGCTCATTTTTCAATATTTGCCGAATGGAATATTGCGATATGTTCAGCTCACGAGCCATTTTTCGGCCACTGCGAAACGGGTTTCGATCAAGTCGATTATTTACTTTTCGGACCATTCCTCCTGATGTTGCTGTTCTCTTCCCTCCACTCCATTGACGTCGGGTTACGCTACCAGTACCACGGTAATGAGCGCCAAAAGATTTATTCACATTTAAATGCTGGAGTGATCTAACGATAGCCACTTGTGGTTTTCCTGCCAAACACAAAGAAATCACACTATCACGCTTGAATTCCATCTCGAATAACTTTTTTCTGGAAAATTCTCACTAAAATGCTTTTGTACGCTTGTAATAATATAATCAGCTGTCACTGGAATAATTTTAACAGCTGTCAGACGAGTGGCTTAGAAATGACAGCAGTCTGAAGTTGATTGCAGTTTTTTCATCTCACCCTGTATAATAATAGATCTTCCTGTAGAGGCCAATGGGTCTTCTTATAGAAGAGAAATTAGTCTACTCATACAAGTCCAATATATCGTCATATAGAAACCAACGGGTCTTCTTACATAAAAAAACCAATAAAGGATTTTTGCAGAAATCTAATGGGTCCATTTGTAAATGAACAACAGGTCGACTTTTAGATGATCACATAGACTCCTTATAGAAAACTAATAAGCCTTCTTATAGAAGACCAATAGGTCATCTTAGAGAAGACCTTATAGAAGACTAATAGGTCTTCTGCTCGTAATGTAGGAGAAAAGTAGGCCTTCCGTAGACCAATAGGTCCTCTTATAGGAGAACAATATGTTTTCTTATAGAAGCACAATAGGCCTTGTTACAGAAGACAAAAAATTCCCTTATTGTCCCCAATAGGTCTTCTTATAAAAGGCCAATATGACTTCTTATAGAAGACCAAAAGGTCTTCTTATAGTAGACTAATAGATTTTCTTATAGAAGACCAGTAGGTCTGCTTATAGGAGACCAATAGATATTTTTATAGAAGATCAAAAGATATTTTTATAAAAGACCAAAATGCCTTATTATAGAAAACCAATAGGTTTTTTAGAAGACCAATAGATTTTTGTGAAAGCGGACAAAATAACTTTGTAAATTTCCTTGCTCTTATTTTTCAAACTTTTGGTATATCTCTCATTAGCCACGGAGAAAAATGGGGCAGTTTTCGATCCACTGTAAATCCCGTTCTAATGCAACCAAAAAATGTTCGACTGTATTTGAATAAAATGGCCCAGGTAAACGATGAGTTTATGGCAAGGTAAGTAGTTATTTTTATTTCCTTAATAATTTATCGAACAAATAGTCATCCATTTTAGAATTCGTCAAATTCGTGGCCCCGAAACGCTGGAAGTCCCCGCCAGTTTCCAAGAAGAAATGAATCGTTGGACTTTGGAATCGGTTTCAGTTGTGGCTTTAGATAAACAATTGGGACTGATTACCACCAACCGTGATAATCCCGATCTCAAGAAACTAATTGGGCTGCTGAATGATTTCTTTGAACTGGGTCAGAAAATTGAATTCGGTCTGCCGTTTTGGAAATATATAAAGACACCGACATTTAAGCTATTTATGAAAACTCTGGATGGACTCTTGGAAATTGGTAATAAATATGTCAATGAGGCCATTGACCGTTTGGAGGCCGAACGCCAAAGTGGAGTGCCAGAGAAACCGGAAAATGAAAAGAGTGTGCTGGAGAAGTTGATAAAGATAGACAGGAAAATTGCCACGGTAATGGCCATTGATATGATATTGGCTGGTGTGGATACGGTGAGTGATCAAATTTCAAACTTTCCAAAAAAAGTACGTATAATATAATTTTTACAGACCTCGACCACATTTTGTTTTCGTAATCATATTCATAACAAATTATCTACGAAGCCAGATACAAAAGAAAGACAAAAATAGCACAACAAATATAGAAAAAAGCTTCCGATTTCACGAGTGTTTGAGAGAACAAAAAACTGAGCGTTATGCATTATGCTCAAATATTTTCTAGACACCAATATTAGATCAGTGCTTGACCGAACTCTGTGCAATAAACTATTGAATAAAATGGCCACAACGATGATTAAATCTCCAAACTATTTGTTTGGAAATAAGCAAAAATACTCGTTATTGAAAACGAAATTATGTCAAGTAAGAGAGAGAAGTAATTAAATATAAATTGTGAATTTCATTATTTTTTATGGATTTTTAATATTTAAGTTTCGATTCTTGGCATCACAATCCACCAACTCAGTGCGGGAACTGGAATCGAAAAATTCCTTCACACAACAATGGCAAGCGGCTAAACCATACGAAGATATTCCTACAATGCCACCCCTGAAAATGTTGCTAAACTTTTTGCCGGGGGGTAAATTTGCCAAACTTGACATCTCCGATATGTTTATGGCATTGCGTTCGGAATTGGGACCGATATGTAAGATGAAAGGCGTATTTGGTCGACCCGATATGGTCATCACTCATAATCCCCAGGATTTTGAAACGCTGCTACGAAACGAAGGTGTCTGGCCCAATCGTCCCGGTTCGGAGGGTCTGAGCTATTATCGACGTGTTCATCGTGCGGATTTTTTTCAGGGCGTCGAGGGACTAATTGCCTCCTAAGTTAAAAAAGGGCATTTGAATAGACGTTTTCATATCTTTTATTAAAAAAAAAAATTGCGCCATGAGTAGTAGACTAATACAAGAGACCGTTTAGAGAAAATCTCTATATCTTCTAAGAGAAAATATAGAGATCTGGAGTTTTTTCTCTTAGAAAGGATCTTGATTTATAAATCTTGTCTTCGAAGATCCTCCATCTGTGAGATCTTGCTATTGTTAATACAGAAATATTTTTGTAGAAGATCATCTTCTAAAAGACTTGGAGATTTTTGTGATATTAAGATTATTTTTAGAACAGATCTAGATATCTTTTTATAGCAGGTCTGGACTTCTTCTTTTAGAATGTCTAGAGATCCTTTATAAAAAATATCTTAAGATCTCTTCTTAAATGATCTGGAGAACATCAGGAGATCTTTTCTTAAAAGATGTGCACATCTGCTCTCAGAAGATCTACATATCTTCTCTTAGGATGTTTAAAGTCCTTCTCTTCGAAAATCAAGGGATATTTCCTCAGAAGTTCTAGACATATTCAATCAGATCTAATTGTCTCTCAGAATATGTAGATATATTCTCCCAGAAGATCTAGAGATCTTCTCCTAGAGGATGTATGTATATATTCCTCCAGTAGATCTAGAGATTTTTTCCCAGAAGATGTAGAGATATTCTCTCAGAAGATCTAGAGATATTCTCTCAGAAGATCTAGAGATATTTTCTCTCAGAAGATATAAAGATCTTCTTTCAAAAGGTGTAGAGGTCTTCTTTCAGAAGATCTAGATATCTTCTCTCAGAAGTCTAGAGATCTTCTCCTAGAAGGTTTCGAGATCTTCTCTCAGAAGATTTAGAGATATAGTCTTTAAAGAGAGAGATCTTCTCTAAGAAGATCTAGTTGTCTCTCAGAAGATGTAAATATATTCTCTAGAAGATCTAGAGATATTCTCCTAGAAGATGTATGTATACATTCTTCCAGAAGACCTAGAGATATTCTCCCAGAAGATCTAGAGATCTGTTCCCAGAAGATGTAGAGATATTGAGAAGATCTCTTCTTAAATGATCTAGATATCTTTTCTCAGAAGGTTTAGAGATCTTCTCTCAAAAGATCTAGAGATCTACTCTTTAAAGATTTAGAGATCTTCTCTTTAAAGATGTAGATGAATTATCTTGGAAAATCTGGAGATATTCCCTCAGAAGATCTGGAGGTCTTCTCTCGGATCCTCTGAAGGCAACATTTCACATGAAGATATTCTCTACGAAGATCAAAGGGAAGATCTTGAGAGATCTTCCCATAGAGAATTCCCAGAGATCTTTCTATAGAATATTATTAGAGATCTTCATATCCTCTTCCTGGAGAGATTGGGAGACATGATTAGGGAAGATCTTTAGATCTGCCTATAGAAAATCTGTAAGTCTTTTCATAGAAAATATAAATAAAATAAAATAAAATAAAATAAAGCCAAATACTCTCAAATTTTGTTATACCAATCCATTTTAGTCAAGGCGAACAATGGGGTTCATTTCGTACCAAAGTTAATCCGATTTTAATGCAACCCAAAAATGTACGCTTGTATATGGACAGAATCTCACAAGTCAACAAGGAATTTATAAAAAGGTAAGGTCGCCCAATTAAAGTAACAACTTCATCACGCATTTGCCCATTACATTCCAGAATTATTGAAATCCGCAACCCAAACACTAACGAAGTTCCCGAAAATTTCGAAGAAGAACTCAACTTGTGGGCTCTGGAATCGATTTCGATTGTGGCTCTCGATCAAAAATTAGGCCTTTTAAGTGGCAACCGCAACAATCCAGAGGTTCGCAAATTATTCCGGCTACTAATCGATTTCTTTACACTTTCGGTAGATATTGAATTTAAGCCACCAATTTGGAAATATTACAAGACAAAGACCTTCAGAAAGATGATGGAGACAATGGATGGTATTACAGACATTGTCAGCCGTCATGTGGAGCAGGCCATAGATCGTATTGAAAAGACGGAGCTAAATGATTCATCTGCCAATGGCAACATCGAACCAAGTGTGTTGGAGAAATTAATAAGAATCGACAAAAAGGTGGCCACCGTTATGGCTATGGATATGTTGATGGCGGGCATTGATACGGTTAGGGGACATTTGTTAGACCATATATTGAATTAAAAAAAATATTAATTCCTTTTTTCCCAATAGACCACATCTGCCTTTACCGGCTTGCTCTTGGTTTTGGCAAAAAATCCCGACAAACAGCAGAAGTTACGTGAAGAAGTCATGCGGTTATTACCCCACAAAGACTCCGAATTTGATGAGCAGACCTTCAAAAATATGCCCTACTTGAGGGCCTGTTTAAAAGAGTCCCTTCGCATTCATCCCCTGGCCTTGGGCAACGCTCGTGTTTCTGCGACAGACATGATCTTAAGTGGTTATCGAGTACCAAAGGAAACACAAATTATGATTGTTTACCTCTCGCTTATCAACAATGACAGTTATTATCCCAGATCAGGGGAATATTTACCTGAACGTTGGCTCCGGTCGGAAGTAGAAAATGAGGAAAATCCCATAAAACCTCGCAGCGCCTTTGTAAATTTTCCTTTTGGATTCGGTGCTCGCAGTTGTATTGGCCGTCGTATTGTTGAAATGGAAATGGAACTGGGCATAGCCCGTTTGGTTCGGAATTTTCATGTGGAATTTGACTATCCCACGGAGAATGCCTTTAAAACTCTACTGTTTAGAGTACCCAATATTCCGCTGAAGTTTAAATTCACTGATGTTGAGAATTGAATAGAGTCGTAAGAGAATATAAATAAATATTGGGGAAATTAATATACAAGTTTATAAAAGTTCGAGGATGTAACAAAAAATTGGAACACAATAAACGCTCGTGCATTTTTAAAAATTTGATTGAATGCCTATATAGGTTCGTGAATTTAAAAAAAATGAACGACAATAAACGCTCGTGGATTTTTAAAAATATCTCTGAAAGACTATAAACGCTCGTGGTTTTTTTAAAATTATGATTGAAAGTTCGTGGTTTTATTTAATTTTTTCTTTTTCTTTCTTTTTTGAAAGCTAATAAAAGCTTGTGGACTTTTGAAAAATATGATAGGAAGACTACAAAAGCTCGCGGTTTTATTTAATTTTTTATTTTTGAAAACCAATAAACGCTCGTGGACTTTTTAAAAATATTTTTGAAAGATCATAAACGCTTCTGGGTTTTTTTTTAAATATTTTTGAAAAACTATAAACGCTCGTGTTTTTTTAATATTTTTGAAAGACCACTAACGCTTGTGGATTTTTAAAAATATTTTTGAAAGACTTTTAAAAGCTCGTGAATTTTTTAAAAATATTTAATATTCAAACGCCACAATTTCACTTTATAGTTTTATTTAATGAAAGCAAAAAATGTCGGAAATAGCATAACATTTTAGAATAAGTTCAGATTTTTTCGAATTCATCACCTTTGGCACAATTATGGCCATCAAACGATAAATGAAACCGTCACACGCTGCCCGAATGTTGCTTTGCGGTATTCTGGCCCATTCCCGGTGAAGCGCTTGCTTTAGGTGATCGACACTTTGGCATTTTTTTAGTGTCAACCTTGCTTTTCAAAATACTCCAGACACAATAGTCCAACGGATTGATATCCGGAGATTTTGGTGGCCATCGTACGCTGGAAATAACCATTCTTGGGTGGTGCGTGCTAAATGCGATGGTGCTGAGTCCTGTTGGAATGTCCAAGGTCTGCGGCCAAAATGTTTGCGTGACTAAGGTTTTAATACACCCTGCAGAATATTTTCGCGATAATATCCGGCATTTATTCTGATGCCACGGTCGATTAATATGAGCAGAGAGCGATCATCGACTGTTATGGCGGCGCACACCATCACCATGGCCGCCGCTTGAGTTCTGGTGGCCAATCGAAGGTGCACATTTCCAGCTGACCTCTTTGGCAAGAAAACACGATCATTTAGTTTGTTTGCAAACTGCTGGACAACGAATGTTTTCTCATCGGAGAAAACCAAATTCGGCAGTTCATCACTTTCGGTTAAGCGAAGCAACTCTTTAACTCTTTTGGGTCTATTTTCTTTCTGTTGCGGAATTTCCATGGCTTTACCCCCAGCTCATTTTTCAATATATGCCGAATGGGATATTGCGATATGTTCAGCTCACGAGCCATTTTTTGGCCAATGCGACGCGGGTTTCGATCAAGTCGGTTCTCTACTTTTCGAACCATTTCTGCTGATGTAGCTGTTTTCTTCCGTCCACTTCCTTGATGTCGGGCTACGCTACCAGTATCACGGTAACGAGCAATGGTACGAGACCCAATAGATTTATTCACATTTAAATGCTGAGGTGCTCTAACGATAGCCACTTGTGGTTATCAAAACGATTTAAGATAGGAAGCTAAAATTTTGTACAAATCTGTCTTTTGTCTACAGGCAGGTCAAGTTCAAAGATGGGCTATATCGTTCCAAGATATCGTATAGCCCCCATATAACGGTATCCCCGATATTCGGTATTTTAATGATTTTAACCACATTTTTCAACGGAATTTTCTGAAATTCTACACAAGGACTTCCTTGTAAGTACTTTATCTCCTAAAAGAAAATTGTCTATATAGGTCCACGATATCGCATATCCCCCATGTACCGATACCCCCGATATTCGATATTCTGATGATTTCAGAATTTCATTGTTCAATGGAATTTTCTGAAAATTCACCCACGAAGTTCTTTGTGAGTACTTTACCCTCTAAAAGAAAACTGTCTATATGGGTCCACGATATCGTACATCCCCCATATATGACGATACCCCCGATATTCGACATTTTAACGATTTCAGCCAATTTGTTAATGGAATTGTCATAAAATCCATACTAGGGGTTAATTCCTTACCCCCTAGAAGAGAATCGTCTGCATAGGGCCACGTTTTCGAATGCCCCCATATAAAGATTTTCATTTGTGCAGTTTTTCCGACGGAAAAGTTTCTTTCAAATGGTGGAGGGTATCCAAAGTTAGGCTCGGCCGAACATAGCTGCTTTTTACTTATTTTTATTTTACTCGACAATAAGTTGAAACATGAAATCTAGCACACACAACTGAACACCTTTATACCAACCTACCTTATCACTAAATTGATACGTAGACATCTGTTGGGTGATATAGCAAATTTGAAAGGAAAAACAACAGCAACAAATAATATGCGATAAAATTAGTCCACTAAATTGATAATCATTTGATCGATTTGTGGGTGACTCATTACTTGCCAGTTTATAATGTAGATAAATATTTTGGAAAGACCCAGTCGCATCAGCAAACATTTTAGGTATACTTCTTCTTTTTTTATAAGGAGATCTATTTTTCTTTTACATGACAGCCGCTTGTTTCTTCGTATGGCAGCAGATTAGGTCATTTTTAGAAAAACCAAAAATTTTCTAAGATAAGTCTTTTACGGAAGTGGGTCTTTTTCTACAAATCTAATTAGTCTTTTTATAGAGATCTAATAATAGAGGATTAGATAAAGAAAACGGCAACAAAGTGAAACGACATAATTTTTACATTTTTTTAAATGTTATTGAATGAAAGCCAAAAAATGTCGGAAATAGCATCAAATTTTAGAAAAAGTTTAGATTTATTCGAATTGGTCACCTTTGGCACGAGTTATGGCCTTCAAACGGCCAATGAAACCGTCACACGCTAGCCGAATGTTGCTCCGCGGTATTTTGTCCCATTTCCGGCGAAGTGCTTTGTGCCAATCTTGCTTTAAAAAATACGCCAGACACAATAGTCCAATGGTTTGGTATTCGGAGATTTTGGTGCCGATTGTGCGCTGGAAATGAAGCGAGGAACCTCATTTTGTAACCATTCTTGAGTGGCACGTTCTGAGTGTGATGGTGCTGAGTCCTGTTGGAATGTCCAAGAAATGCGGCCAAAATGTTTGCTTGCGATTAATATGTGCGGCGAGCGACCATCGGCTTTTATGGCGGCCTACACCATCCCCATGGCCGGCACTTGAGTTCTGGTGGCCAATCGAAGGTGCACATTTTCAGCTGACCTCGTTGGCAAGTAAACACGATCATTTTGTTTGTTTACAAACTGCTGGACAACGAATGTTTTCTCATCGGAGGAAACCAAATTCGGCAGTTCACCACTTTCGTACTAGAGAAGCAACTCTTTAGCTCTTTCGAGTCTATTTTCTTTCAGTTGCGGTGTAAGTTTTTGGAATTTCAATGACTTTACCCCGAGCTCATTTTTCAATATTTGCCGAATGGAATATTGGGATATGTTCAGCTCACGAGCCATTTTTCGGCCACTGCGAAGCGGGTTTCGATCAAGTCGATTCTTTACTTTTGGGACCATTTCTGCTAATGTTGCTGTTCTCTTCGCTCCACTCCCTTGACGTCGGTTTACGCTACCAGTACCACGATAACGAGCGATGGTACGAGACACAAAAGATTTATTTACATTTAAATGCTGGATTGCTCTAACGATAGCCACTTGTGGTTTTCCAGCAAAATATAAAGAAATCACACTATCACGCTTGAATTCCATCACGAATAACTTTTTTCTGGAAAATTCTCACTAAAATGCTTTTGTACGCTTGTAATAATGTAATGAGCTGTCACTGGAATAATTTTAACAGCTGTCGGACGAGTGGCTTAGAAATGGCAACAGTCTGAAGTTGGTTGCAGTTTTTTTCATCTCACCCTGTATAATAATAGATCTTCCTGTAGAGGCCAATCGGTCTTCTTATAGAAGAGAAATTAGTCTACTCATAGAAGTCCAATATATCGTCTTATTGAAACCAACGGGTCTTCTTCATAAAAAAACAATATAGGATTTTTATAGAAATCTAATGGGTCCATTTGTAAAAGAACAACAGGTCGACTTTTAGATGATCACATAGACTCCTTAGACCTTATAGAAGACTAATAGGTCTTCTGCTCGTAATGCAGAAGAAAAGTAGGCCTTCCCGTATACCAATAGGTCCTCTTATAGAAGAACAATATGTTTCCTTATAGAAGCACAATAGGCCTTGTTACAGAAGACAAAAAATTCCCTCATTGTCCCCAATAGGTCTTCTTATAAAAGGCCAATATGACTTCTTATAGAAGACCAAAAGGTCTTCTTATAGTAGACTAATAGATTTTCTTATAGAAGACCAGTAGGTCTGCTTATAGGAGACCAATAGATATTTTTATAGAAGATCAAAAGATATTTTTATAAAAGACCAAAATGCCTTATTATAGAAAACCAATAGGTTTTTTCAGGAGACCAATAGATTTTTGTGAAAGCGGACAAAATAACTTTGTAAATTTCCTTGCTCTTATTTTTCAAACTTTTGGTATATCTCTCATTAGCCACGGAGAAAAATGGGGCAATTTTCGATCCACTGTAAATCCCGTTCTAATGCAACCAAAAAATGTTCGACTGTATTTGAATAAAATGGCCCAGGTAAACGATGAGTTTATGGCAAGGTAAGTAGTTATTTTTATTCCCTTAATAATTTATCGAACAAATCGTCATCCATTTTAGAATTCGTCAAATTCGTGACCCCGAAACGCTGGAAGTCCCCGCCAGTTTCCAAGAAGAAATGAATCGTTGGACTTTGGAATCGGTTTCAGTTGTGGCTTTAGATAAACAATTGGGACTGATTACCACCAACCGTGATAATCCGGATCTCAAGAAACTAATAGGGCTGCTGAATGATTTCTTTGAACTGGGTCAGAAAATTGAATTCGGTCTGCCGTTTTGGAAATATATAAAGACACCGACATTTAAGCTATTTATGAAAACTTTGGATGGACTCTTGGAAATTGGTAATAAATATGTCAATGAGGCCATTGACCGTTTGGAGGCCGAACGCCAAAGTGGAGTGCCAGAGAAACCGGAAAATGAAAAGAGTGTGCTGGAGAAGTTGATAAAGATAGACAGGAAAATTGCCACGGTAATGGCCATTGATATGATATTGGCTGGTGTGGATACGGTGAGTGATCAAACTGCAAACTTTCCAAAAAAGTACGTATAATATAATTTTTACAGACCTCGACCACATTTACGGCCTTGCTGCTGTGCTTGGCCAAAAATCCTGGGAAACAAGAGAAGCTGCGCCAAGAAATTCGCCAAATTCTACCCCGCAAAGGTTCACAATTCGAGCCAAGCTCTCTCAATCATATTCCCTATACAAGAGCTTGCATAAAGGAAGCCTTACGAATGTATCCGTTGACCTTAGGAAATGCTCGCATCTTAGCCAACGATACTGTCCTAAGTGGTTATCGTGTTCCAAAGGGCACCCTAGTGAGCATGATATCAACAGGTTTGCTGCATGATGACAATCACTATACAAAAGCCAAGGAATATTTACCAGAACGTTGGATGCGTCCAACCAAAGAAGAAGCCGAAGATTCTGCCACATGTCCCCACGTCTTAAAGGCCAGCAGCCCCTTCATTTATTTACCCTTTGGTTTTGGTCCCCGTAGTTGTGTTGGTCGCCGCATTGTCGAAATGGAACTGGAATTGGGCATTGCCCGCTTGGTACGCAATTTCCGTATTGAATTCAATTATCCCACGGAGAATGCTTTCAAATTTAAATTAATTAATGTTCCAAATATTCCATTGAAATTTAAATTTACTGATGTTGAAAATTAAAACATGGCGGAAATTTATCAGAATATATCTATTAATATGAACAAATCTAAAAAAAATATTTATTAATACAAAACAAATGTCTAGCAGTTTTAATTGATCGATAGGCGGAAAATGTAAAATTGTTACATTAGAAGACCTCTTGAGGGTCTTCTGTCTATAGAAGACCTCTCGAGGGTCGTCTGGCTATAAAAACCTCTCGAGGGCCCTCCGCCTAAAAAAAGAACTCTCAAGGGTCCTCTGACAAAAAAAGACCACTCGATGGTCTTCTCTCTATAGAAAACCAGTTGCGGGTAACCCGCCCACTGAAGACCTCTAGTGGGAAAACAAAAAGACCTCAATGGAAGACCTCTTGAGGATCTTCTGTCTATAGAAGACCTCCCGTGCGTCTTCTATCAATAGAAGATCTTTTTGATGACTTATTAGGGTCTATAGAACCCATGTTAGTCTTCTTCTATAGGAAAAAGCAAGATGCTACAAGAATTAGCAAAGATACTACGACAAGAAATTCTAATAAGTACTCAACCTAGGCCATACAAGGATACTACTGCAAGTGACCTTAATGTGTATTTAAGCAATGCGCTACAAGGATATTCCTCGCATATCCTGCGAGAGACGTTAAATAAATACGTTTTAAAAGGACTTGAAAGGATACTACGACCAGAGACCTTCAAAGATACTTAAGTGAGACTACAAGATTATAATATCATATCTCAGAAAGAGACCTCAATAAGTAAGAGCGATAAAAGGATTTGCAAGTATACTACAGCAATATATTTTAATAGGTATTACAGCAAGGCTCTACAAGGATACTACTGCAAGATATTTTAATAGGTATTACAAAAAAGCTCGAAAATAATTTTTAAGTATGCTACGGCAAGGCTCAAGACTCTACAATGATATGCAAGAATAATACTACGAGCGACCTTAATAAGAATTCAGGCAAGGCTCTACAATGGTATGGAAGGTTACTACTCCGAGAGACAAGCATCAACAAGCAAGGAACTAAAAGGATATGCAAGTATACTTATGCAAGTGACCTTAATGAATACCAGACTCTACATGAATGCTATTGCAAGAGACTTTAATAAGTTCTCAAGGAAGGCTCTACAACAGGGGTATTATAACAAGCAATCTTAATAAGTACTCAAATAAGTCGCTGCAAGAAGTTACTACAGATGACCCTAAAAACTACGCAAGGGTATAAAAGGATATGCAAGGATACTACTGCCCGAGACATTGAAAAGTTTTCAAGCTTGACTATAAGCTTATTATATCATACTACTGAAAGATACCTTAATAGTACCTCCAGAGAGGCACTACATGGATACTAAGGATATATCAGGATAAAGGATTTGGAGACAAAAAAGTACTCTGAGGCGGGATGTCTTTGGTTAATTGATGTTGCCACTTTCTAGGTCTGGCCCTAACTGTCTGTCCCAACTCTACAATTTTTCATTCTTTTATACCTGGCTTTATCATGACTTCTTAAGCTGTAGGGAAACTGTTTAAGGCCTTCCTTCCATAGAAGACTTGCTAAAACTCTTCTCTCCATAGAAGACTACAGGGACCAAATCACCGCATAAGACATCGAGTTCTGTTATACGTTATAGAGAAACATTTCGATTGCTGTAAATTTTTGGATCACTGCATTCGTTTGTAAATTATTTTGTCTACTCCTTTCTTACATTGCTGGTAAGAAACATATGGTAATAAGAAATTGGAAGCGAAAGAGACTTTCAAAATAAATTTCCCATATAAAGGGTGAGATAAAAAAACTGCAATGAAGTAAAACGTCATAATTTTTACTTTTTTATAATTTTATTGAATGAAATCAATGGCCCGATTATCGATAACAACTATCGTTGAGTGGCGTTGCCAGTTGCCAAAATTACATTATGTATGGCAACTTTCAACTGAAGTTGCGAATTTCAGTTGCTACAACGGCCATATTTGAGCAACCACATTTTCAAAGAAGAAAAAGTAAAATTGAGAAGTAAATACACATTTTCTTAACAATTATTGATTTTTTAGCTTCACTAAATCATTTTGCATATCATTTTAGATTAAATATGGTGAAAGTAACAACAAAACATCAGTTCGAAATTCTTATAGAAAAAAATGGGTGCTAATCCAAACTTAGCTCGAGGAATCCGTGTCTTTGGTGAAACCAAAGCCACTGCAGATGAAGCGTAGAAGAAAATTTCCGACAACCTAAACAGTCATAGTCCACCAACAAGGACACCAGAAGAATGACAGAGAGTATGGATCCTGGATGTGTACGTGTGTTCCATCTATACAGCCCACAACGCCGGGAAATTTCGTTTTTGAGTAAAAGTAGTTTCTATTTAGTCTTTTCTCTTCCTCCGTTAACTTCGAAACAATCCAAAGTTTACATAATTCGTACTCTATCAAGTGCACTACTTCGCTCAGGACGTTCGAGAATGTGGGTTGAGCTATACAATTGTTGTAATCATTTCCATGGGACGTTTGGAAACTTCCCTCCGCAAAAAAACCTCAGAGCAGCACAAACTTTTAAAAGTGGAGGAATTGCTGTTGATTTATAGCATACTTTGAAGTCATATTTAAGAGTCTACACTATGTATACTACGGCATCTTTTGGAAGCCGAAAATACGCCTTCAACCTAAAATAGTTACATGCTTATTTAGACCATTCCAACATGACATATACTTACAGCACCGATGGCAATTCCAACGGATTTGAATTATCTCTCAAGCTTCGTCGAATAGATGCAACGTCCTGAACATTTTCTTCTTCATCAAAAAATAATTCCACATTTTAAAAATTCTTTTATTGTTTAAATTGTGTTTTGTTATTTCGAATTTATTGACATTTTTGAAGTTTAGAGTTCACAAGATGGAAAATACACTGATCGATAACACGTTTATCGACAACTCAATTGGGTTGCCTTCTATAATAAAACATTTTATTTCAGTCGAGCTGACAACTGATAACGCAACTTAAGTTTGGTGGCAATGCATAATCGAATAACTTTAGATTTGTTCCAATTGGTTACCTTTGGCACGAATTATGGCCTTCAAACGGCCAATTAAACCGTCACACGCTGCCCGAATGTTGCTCTGCGGTATTTTGACCCATTCCCGGTATTTTTAATGACAATCTTGATTTCCAAAATACTCCAGACACAATAGTCCAACGGATTGATATCTGGAAATTTTGGCGGCCATTGTGCTGAGTGCGATGGAGTCCTGTTGAAATGTCCAAGGTCTGCGGCCAAAATGTTTGCGTGCACCCTCCAGAATATTTTCGCGATAATATTCGGCATTTATTCTGATGCCACGGTCGATTAATACAAGCGGAGAGAGCGACCATCGGCCGTTATGGCGTCCCACACAATCACCATGGCCGCCGTTTGAGTTCTGTTTGCGAACCGAGGGTGGACATTTTCAGCTGACCTCTTTGGCAAGTAACCACAATCATTTTGTTTATTTACAAACTGCTGGACAATGAATGTTTTCTCATCGGAGAACACCAAATTCGACAGTTCACCACTTTCGATCAAGCGAAGCAACTCTTTAACTCTTTTGAGTCTATTTTCTATCTGTTGCGGTGTTAAATTCTTGCACTTTTTGGAATTTCAATGGATTTACCCCGATCTCATTTTTCAATATTTGCCGAATGAAATATTGGGAAATATTCAGCTCAACGAGCCATTTTACAGCCACTGCGATGCGGGTTTCGATCATGTCGCTTCTTTACTTTTCGAACCATTTCTGCTGATGTTGCTGTTTTCTTCCGACCACTTCCTTGACGTCGGGCTACGCTACCAGTATCACGGTATCGAGCGACAAAAGATTTATTCACATTTAAATGCTGGAGTGCTCTAACGATCGCCACTTGTGGTTTTCCAGCCAAACATAAAGAAATTACACTATCTCGCTTGAATTCCGAATAACTTTTTTTCTGGAAAATTCTCACCAGAATGCTTTTGTACTCTTTTAAACAATATAATGAGCTGTCAGCTGAATAATTTTAACAGATGTCGGATAAGTGGCTTAGAAATGACAGCAGTCTGAAGTTGGTTGCAGTTTTTTCATCTCATATTGTTTTTGTGTGCGTCAAAATATATGTATGAAAATATATTATGAATCTTAGTCTTTTAGCATTGCCTGAAATAGAGTAAGAGATTACATATATTCAAAATAGAATTATACTTACATCTTCTCTAACTTCTTATTTCTTTTTGTTTACCCTTTTTCCGCGCAAAAAATGTACTACATACTTTGTTTTCGATAACATACTCCCTATCGTGTAGGAATTCGAGTAGAAACAATTTGATAACGACTGCTGCGATCCTATTGCGGCAAACAATATTACGATGCCGAAGTACTCGATTTCGATTGCGGTGATTTGGCTCCAGGTCTTCGTCTATGGAAGCCCTTCAAAAACTTTATAAAAAATAAAACTATGGAATTTTTTTTATTAGACGTTTAAAGCTATTTTTATTTATTATTATTTTCTTTACACAATAAAATTTGTTTAATTTTTACGACATAGTATTTTTTATTTGTTACACAATAATATTCTGATGTTTAGAATTAATATATGGTCTTAAATGATTTTCCCAAATTAAATAAGGGAATTTTTTTCCATGTTTTTTTTTTTTCAAATACGATTCTCGGACAAATTATAGAGAGAGAGAGAGAGAGATAGGGGCCTATCTCCATATGAATATAATATATATTTGTTTTTTTCTTTATTATTTTTTAACCCTACGATCCATAACCAGGGTGCCCGTGTATCCCAAGTGAATTTTTTTTAGATTATATTCAAATAAAATAATATTTATATGCACAGATAATTAAAAACGTTTGTCAGATAAAATTTGTTGCGAAATGCTCATATTTCGCTACCAAAAATGCTAACATGAAAGGAGTGGTTTTGTGTTTCTAGGTAGAACTTGTTGGGTCTTATTATTTGCGTTTCTAGGCACATGAGGGTTTCAAAAAAGAAGGACTGGTTTTGTGTGTTTAGGTAACAAATGATAAATATAAATAGTATCAAGGTATATTAAATTCGATATCAAGGTATGGT